TTGTGCCTCGAATGATCAAACATTAGACTATATTTATTACGTTTATTTTATTACTGGGATATGCTATTTGAAGTTTTATGGCGATATCTCGGTTCATATTTGAGACTTCTTTAAGAACACACACACTAGATTATCAGTATTTTTACTTCTTAAAGGATTATCCATCAAAATCCTTAATGATAGTTTTATGCAAAAATTCGCTGATAATAATGGTCTTAAATACGAATGTTTTCAATAGATTAGAAAAAAAAACAGCTTTAAATTCTTACGTTATATCCTCTCGTCGAAACCATGTTTAACAACTGCTTTGATCATCTTGTTATTTATTATTATACTGTTTACTGTACACATTACTGTTACAATTATGTTCAACCTCGACTATTCATATTTGTTAGTCTATGTTTACAATAAAAATAACGAATCATACCTCTGTATTCATATCTTTTACCTAGAACGAAAATTTGTCTCAAGTTTTAACTTTTATAATGTACCACAAATAGAATGTACGCATGATTATTATATGTAATATACCTGTTCTGCATGTATTTAATTATTTAAAGGCTGTATTATGTAGCATGATTTAACAAACTATAAATTCTGTTATAATTTACAAATCAATATTGATTTTAACGCGTCATGATAATATAATGAGTGGTTTATTTATAGAACGATCGTGTTAATAAAATGACGGTACACTTGACATAAACATAATTGTAAAACATAAACTATAATATAAAACTGATCTGTATGTGCAATATTGGTATGAAAACTGGTGGCACTTTATAACTAATTTAGTTAAATTGACGTTATATTTTTTTTGTGTGTGAAAAAGTGCTACTGATCCATTGCATATCTGCCACTGGTAGAACTAAACAAAAACGCAAAACCCATGCAACAAGCAACTGCAACTTTTCGGCTCTTTCCGTCAAACTTCGGATCAGGATGACGTACTATTGGTAAAGTGTTCCGAATGGTGAACCGGGTCTTGAAAAGGACAAAATTATGATATTAAAGAGATAAATGTCGAAAAATATAAGATTTTTTTTACTTTATAAGGATATAAGCATAGTTGAATATGTTGTACAAATATAAGTAGCTCTATATTGAAGGTACCTCTTAAAAAGTTTAATACACGTAAGTGGTTGTAGCATGGGGTTTTAAAACTTCTATATTAGAACGAGTGTACATGCATGTATACGTAAGCAGCAGACGATGATCATTGCAATAAATGACTCAGGGGCCATAACTCTGTACAACATTGAAACTTGTATACCAAAGCTGGGACATATCTCTTTATATCCCGGACCAAACACAGGAATATACAGAACAATACCAATTCGTAATAACACATGCTACTATTAAATTCAAACATTTGCAGATTTTTGTTAACCAGAATATGTTAACAGTGTAAGGGGCAATAACTCCATTAATTATTTAATTATAATATTAATAATGGATAGATCCCTATATGACACATACATGTACCTTTCTTATTCAAATTATTGCATTATCATAAGAATTTCACCATGAACTGTTTTTAACAAAAGAACACATGTCAATTTTTGTGGTAAAATCTATTGTTTTATTTAAATAAAAGGTCAGAGTAGGGATCTATCAATAACCATATACATGTATGTTTCATCTCCTCCACATAAATGGGCCGCTAAATATAGTCTCTACAAAAGTTGGTTATATATGTATATATACATGTACAAAACAGGGACTTAATGTCCCAACAAAGTATTTTTAATGGAGAAGGCTAGGTATATTATGAGCTTTTAAAAGTGAGAATGTAGTTGTACAAAACAGTAAAAAAATCACATTTGCATAAAGAAACAATAGTTTATTTTTTGGTAATGTCAATATATATGTAAGGGTATCACAGTTCAAATATTAAATAACTCAAAGATTGGTTATGCAAAGCAAGGATCACAAAAAATATAGGTAATACTGTACGCTTATCAGGTTTTTATATAAAATATCATAATACTGCATGCATGTTTGTAACGTCCATTTTCATTGGACAATCATCATTTGATATTATTCATAATACATTGTAAGTAAAATTTCATATAATATTTTTATCTTAACCACAGAAAGCAACTGTGCAGTATATCAATCTTTATGAAGACTTCTAATAGGTTATATGGCTGTTTTATAAACAATTGTTTGCTATACAACCAACAAATAGCTTGGGTTATATAAGTTTACAACCATTTATATTAGGTCATATAACCTGTCAACTTTAAATTATACGATATATGTCAACAAATACATACAGTTTCAAGGCAGGAGATTTAGGTAAAACAATTCTTGTTTAATTATAATACTTTAAAATACCAAAAACAAAAGTTAAACACATCCATATCACTGAAAGGACAGGGTGTTTGAGGTAAACAAGAATAACAAAAACACTAAATAAATTCTGCACTTAAAAGAAAAACAACAACTAAGATTTAACATCTTAAAGATAGAAACAATAGTAATAAGTATAAATGCTTTTTTGAAACCTTTCAGCAAAGCAGAGCATGTCAACATGTAAAAACTCTAAAAAAAAACTTATAATAACCATAATTCCTTAAAGCAGCATACCTCTAGATTTGTTTTTGTTTTGGATGACAATTCAAAGATTGTTTTCATGAGTAAAATGTTGCTAATTTGTATAAATTAAGTGAATAACTAATATTTGGATTACAATTTAAAAATTGGAGTAAAAATGTTGCTAATTTGTAAAAATAAAGTGAATAACCTAGTTTACGGTATTTACTGTTTACAGAACTTAATTTATCAAAATGTTTAGCAATTTCTCTTACTCCTTTATTTGAAAGTAAAATAATGTAAAGTGAAGAAAGTAAGCAATTTTAATATTACAAACAGCACTTACAATCCACATTAATTACTGAAAAGAGGTCAAAATATAATGCAAAAATATTATAGTCCTTACTGTGTTAGGTCAACCAGTATTGAAATATGGTCAATCTACTGCAAAATCAGTCATTTATCACACATATCATGTAAATTATTACTTGAATCTTTTTACTTTTTTTAAAATGTTACTATATTTTTTCTCAAGTTTGAGTATTTAAAAATATTTTTGTTCATCTAGAGGCATGCAGCTTTAAAAGAACAAATCTATTTCATTCAGTCAGCATGTAAGGGGTTAAAAATACTGATTGTTTAAACATTTAACAAATTTAATGATAAAAAAACAACACCTTTCTTTTACAGGATAATAGATAATATTTTACAAATTCATTTATTGTTACTTCCTAACAGTAACAGCATTATTAGGAACATGTAATATAAAACTAAGGCACATGGTGTGATTTTCTTAAATATGCTTTTTGGCTCTCTCCATATATTTTTCAAACTTAGCACTTTAAGTAAAACATGTAAAAGTTGAATTTCAAATTTACACAGACTCAGAATAAAATACATCATACAAATAATACACTAAATTATTTGTATTTTTAATGTACATGTATTTTTTTGTTCTTCATTTTTTTTTTGGTTTATAGATACTTTTGCCAATGGTTGGCTATAATTCAGTTGTATCTTAAGTAATGATTATTTTTATTCCAATATTGTGTTCAATAAATATATTTCCAATTTCTTAAATAATCTTAATTCTGAAAAAGCCTAATGATTAAAAATAGTGTAAGTTTTTAATATTTTGTTTATACATAAATTATTTCAACACACTTTGGTTTCCTATTAAATTATGGAATACATGGAATCACATTTGTGTTCAAACTTTTCAACTGGCAGTGAAATATGTAAACAAAATGCTCACATTTTCTAGTTCGCAAATATTTTCTTCCTTGTTTGAGAAAGAATTGGAGATAATGTATCATAAAAAAACTTTAACATATTTGAGCCGCGTCACGACAAAACCAACATAATGGGTTTGCAACCAGCATGGATCCAGACCAGCCTGCGCATCCGCGCAGTCTGATCAGGATCCATGCTGTTCGCTATAACTTTCTCTACTTGTTATAGAGTTTGTAAACAAACAGCATGGACCCTGATCAGACTGCGCGGATGCGCAGGCTGGTCTGGATCCATGCTGGTCGCAAACCCATTATGTTGGTTTTGTTCCGATGCGGCTCATTTCTTTATCCAAAATATAACACTTGATAACAATTAAAGTAATATATAGTTTAACATACAGGAAGATAATTATCATGTTTCTTCAATGTCTTGTTTATTCCATATCATGTTGTTTCCATAATCCTGTTAATACACATTTCCATAACTATGTTAGGAAAAAAACAAGAGCTGTCAGAAGGACAGCGCGCTCGACTTTTTTAGTGCTTGCCTATAAAACAAAACTTTGACAGTTAAGGGCACACAAGACTTTAACTAGGAATTTCTAAGTACAAATCAAGAAACATTTTCACAGAGTTATCTTCTCTTGCTTACAGATAGGTCTCATGATGGCACATAAGAACTCCAACTTCCAAAGTAATATCTCAAATGGTTAAGTCAACAAGTGGACAAGAATGAAAATCTTAACTGAGTTTCTAAGTCAAAAAAGGGCCATAATTCAAATAAAATCCTTAACAGAATTACCTTCTCCTGCCCATGTTTTGGGACCATGATGGTAAACAAGTATTCCAACTTTCCAAATTAATATCTCAAACAGTTCAGTCAAAAAGTGGACTGGTACTAAAAACTTAACCAAGATTCTAAGTCGATAAAAGGCCTTAATTTTTAAAACAAATCCTTGACAGAGTTACCTTCTCTTGCGTACAGATGGGGTAATGATGTGAAATAGCATTAAAAGTTTCAAAGCAATATCTCAAAGGGTTAAGGCAATAAGTGGATTTTACCCATATTCAATGTATTTTCTAAGTCAAAAAAGGGGCATAATTCTGTCAAAAACCTTGACAGAGTTATGTCCTCTTGTCTGTTGATGAAGGTCGTGATGGTAAACAAGTATGGTCAGTTTCAAAGCAATACCTCCAATGGTTTTGAAATAAAGTGAGGTGGTACAAAAAACTTAACCAAGCTCAATACACTTTCTAAGTCAAAAAAGGGCCATAATTCTGTCAAAAACCTTGACAGAGTTATGTACTCTTGTCTGTAGATGGAGGTTATGATGGTGAACAAGTATGGTAAGTTTCAAAGCCATACTTGTAATACTTCTGAAATAAAGTGGGGTGGTACGAAAAACTTAACCAAGGTGTGACGCCAACGCCGACGCCGACGCCGGGGCGAGTAGGATAGCTCCCCTTTTCATAGAAAAGTCGAGCTAAAAACTATAACAAAAATAACATAATGAAAACAAATGGTAAAAACATGAAAAGAGAATAAAAAAGATAATCAAGTTATCTATAAACATGAGTAATAATTTCTGGAGAATCAAACACAGTATCTGTTTGGCGTCGTTCCTCAATCCGCGGCACTTTCGACCAATCAAACGTTGTGTACAAGGTGACAGATTTCTTCAACCTTCGAGCATTACACGCATCATCAGAGCTCATGTATAAGGGGCTGTAAAAAAATAAATAAAATAGAATATAATAAGAGGTACATGACTTAGGACTTTTAGTAGAAATGTTCCGATATTATCAATAAATCAATGTATTGTGATTATCGCCCTCATTCTACAGTATTGTGACAACAATTCTGAGGTATCAACATGTAGGACAAACAGATTAAAACCAACACAATTTTAAATATCAATACATGTTTTGTCAGTTGATACATAAAGGAAATGACGTAAATGTACTCAAAACAGACGTCTACGTTAATAGACGGCACATTAGGCCCATAAAAGAAATGTTATAATATTATAATAAAACAAAAAAACGTCTAATCTATATACAGCAATACATGTACATCACTCTTATAGTTGTCTCTTTGAACAGTACTGTAAATTCAAAAATTTGTAATTGCTAATTGTTAATCACTTTTTGAAATATTTGAAACTGAAGGACGATGTAAAGATACATAGTCTGAGATTTAAAGTTTGTTCTAGTCAAGAACTTAATTCACAATAATAGTGTTACAGAATCAACACCAATACATTGTAAATCAGCGCAATGGTATAGAAGGTATTACTTTAGAAAGACTTGAACATTAAAAACTGCATTCATTTCTAGCCTACCCCAACCTGTGCATTATTTAGCACTGGCACATCCTTTAAAAACACTGAGCCCCTGTAAGCTACCTAGACTCCTTTAGAACCACTGAGCCCCTGTAAGCTACCTGGACTCCTTTAGAACCACTGAGCCCCTGTAAGCTACCTGGACTCCTTTAGAACCACTGAGCCCCTGTAAGCTACCTGGACTCCTTTAGAACCACTGAGCCCCTGTAAGCTACCTGGACTCCTTTAGAACCACTGAGCCCCTGTAAGCTACCTGGACTCCTTTAGAACCACTGAGCCCCTGTAAGCTACCTGGACTCCTTTAGAACCACTGAGCCCCTGTAAGCTACCTGGACTCCTTTAGAACCACTGAGCCCCTATAAGCTACCTGGACTCCTTTAGAACCACTGAGCCCCTGTAAGCTACCTGGACTCCTTTAGAACCACTGAGCCCCTGTAAGCTACCTGGACTCCTTTAGAACCACTGAGCCCCTGTAAGCTACCTGGACTCCTTTAGAACCACTGAGCCCCTGTAAGCTACCTAGACTCCTTTAGAACCACTGAGCCCCTGTAAGCTACCTAGACTCCATTAGAACCACTGAGCCCCTGTAAGCTACCTGGACTCCTTTAGAACCACTGAGCCCCTGTAAGCTACCTGGACTTCTTTAGAACCACTGAGCCCCTGTAAGCTACCTGGACTTCTTTAGAACCACTGAGCCCCTGTAAGCTACCTGGACTTCTTTAGAACCACTGAGCCCCTGTAAGCTACCTTTACTTCTTTAGAACCACTGAGCCCTTGTAAGCTACCTGGACTCCTTTAGAACCACTGAGCCCCTGTAAGCTACCTGGACTCCTTTAGAACCACTGAGCCCCTGTAAGCTACCTAGACTCCTTTAGAACCACTGAGCCCCTGTAAGCTACCTAGACTCCTTTAGAACCACTGAGCCCCTGTAAGCTACCTAGACTCCTTTAGAACCACTGAGCCCCTGTAAGCTACCTGGACTAAGCATGTTTGCTTTAAACTAATCCAACATTTTTGGCAAGATTCAAACGTGCTGATTTTATTACTGGGACATTAGTGAACAGACTGACAGCTTTAAAAAGTACCAATCTCAGCCACAGGCCATGCATCTTAATTTCTTTTCCATCTACTGCTGAACAATTTTAACATTTAAAATGAAGAGCAATCACAAAAATACTAAAAATTTGTAATTTTTTCTTGAACTGACAAAAACCAGACAGCTGCATAATTTAGAGGACCTTTGCTGTTACCAAAAAGATTGATTATATTCAATTCAGAATTAAGTTGTTTAAAAGCACAATGACACTATTATGAACATATGGCAACTGAATTTTCAGCTTTTATGATGAAGGAAGACTTTTGGTGCGCAGCATTGCTTAGTCCTCACAGGGGAAACCTCTGACATTAGGATCAAACCCGTTGCAGGAAGGGTCTAGAGATTTCAAGTTAGCACCATTAACCACTTGGCCAGTCAAAGCTTACACTTAATGCTAAAGTTATAATTATTTAACAGGGTACTAACCTATCTCTTAAAAAGCTATTTCCAAGATCTCTTGTATCTGAAATATAACACAAATATAAATGTAAAATAGCTAATAAGTAATCTATCAATTTATATTATATAAAAGATGTTTTTTTTGTTGTACTTTTTTTTTATTAATCTATAGCATTTTTTGTTAAACAAAAGAACTCTTCTAACAAAGAAAATGAGTATCAATTTAAGTAGTTTATCTTCTTAACAAATTTAAAAAAAAAAGATTATTGGCCCTTTTTGAAGTACTATTATCTAACATAATTACAACAGTTAACCATTATCCAACATGGACCAGATAATCTAACATGTTACACATTACCTAACCTGAAACAGATTATTGTACAGATTATTTTAAAGTCACAGATGATCTAACATGTAACAGATCATATTATATGTAACAGATTAACTATTTTTATTGGTTTATCTAACACACATAAAACAGATTTTATAACATGTAACACTCAAGACTTTATAACATGGAACAGATAATCTAACATGTGACATCAAACATGTAACATATTATCTAATATGTAATATATTAATTCTAATATGTATTGTAACATATCTGACATGTAACAGATTATCTAACATGAAACAAATTTAATATCATGTAACAAAATTTATCTTACAACTGTAACTGATTATCTTACATAGGACAGGTTATCAAACTACAATGTACCATATAACCTAACATTTGACTGTCTTATTACCTTATGTGTAGCAGATTACCTAACATGTGACTGATTACCTTTAATGTGACAGATTAACATAAATGTAACATATTACCTAACATGTAACAGATTACCTAACATGTAACAGATTACCTTAAATGTAACAGATTACCTAAATTGTAACAGATTACCTAACATGTCACATATTACATGACATTTAACAGAATATCAAACATGCAGCAGATTACTTAACATATGACAGATTACCTAATGCATGACAGATTACCTAACGTATGAAAGATTACCTAACATATGACAGATTACCTAATGCATGACATATTACCTAACATATGACAGATTACCTAACATGTGACAGATTACCTATCATGTGGCAGATTACCTAACATATGACAGATTACCTAACATATGACATATTACCTAACATATGACAGATTACCTAACATGTGACAGATTACCTATCATGTGGCAGATTACCTAACATATGACAGATTACCTAACATATGACATATTACCTAACATATGACAGATTACCTAACATGTGACAGATTACCTATCATGTGGCAGATTACCTAACATATGACAGATTACCTAACATATGACAGATTACCTAACATATGACATATTACCTAACATATGACAGATTACCTAACATATGACAGATTACCTTATATGTAACAGATTATCTTACAAGTAGCATATTATGTAATATGTATAAGATTATCTAACATGTAAGTTATTATCTAACATGTATCAGATTAATGATTACCTTAAATGTAACAGATTACCATACATGATACAAATTATCTTACACGTAACAGTTTATCTACCATGTTACAGATATAACCATACGTTTCTTAACCCGATATGACAAAAAAATCCTTTGCAAATCATCTTATTCATTAAAATCAAATTAGTAATCCTTAGGTGCAAATTATATTATTTGTTTGTTTCAAAATGAAATGCTTCACAACAACTTACCATATAAAATAACATTAACTGTATTGACTCGAACAAAAGTCCATTTTTTTGATGTTACATTAAACTGGTACAAAATTCAGAAACATTAAACTTAAAGTCGGCTACCTAATAAGTTGGCTTCCATAAGACATTTCAACGACCAAACTAAATTAATAAATTATCTTGAATCTATATAAGTCTAAACTTTGAAAATAAGAAAAAAAAAGAAAAATAATAAGATATAAAGAAAATAAACAAAAGAAGATAACAAGAGCTGTCAGAAGGACAGCGCGCTCGACTTTTTTAGTGCTTGCCTATAAAACAAAACTTTGACAGTTAAGGGCACACAAGACTTTAACTAGGAATTTCTAAGTACAAATCAAGAAACATTTTCACAGAGTTATCTTCTCTTGCTTACAGATAGGTCTCATGATGGCACATAAGAACTCCAACTTCCAAAGTAATATCTCAAATGGTTAAGTCAACAAGTGGACAAGAATGAAAATCTTAACTGAGTTTCTAAGTCAAAAAGGGCCATAATTCAAATAAAATCCTTAACAGAATTACCTTCTCCTGCCCATGTTTTGGGACCATGATGGTAAACAAGTATTCCAACTTTCAAATTAATATCTCAAACAGTTCAGTCAAAAAGTGGACTGGTACTAAAAACTTAACCAAGATTCTAAGTCGATAAAAGGCCTTAATTTTTAAAACAAATCCTTGACAGAGTTACCTTCTCTTGCGTACAGATGGGGGTAATGATGTGAAATAGCATTAAAAGTTTCAAAAGCAATATCTCAAAGGGTTAAGGCAATAAGTGGATTTTACCCATATTCAATGTATTTTCTAAGTCAAAAAGGGGCATAATTCTGTCAAAAACCTTGACAGAGTTATGTCCTCTTGTCTGTTGATGAAGGTCGTGATGGTAAACAAGTATGGTCAGTTTCAAAGCAATACCTCCAATGGTTTTGAAATAAAGTGAGGTGGTACAAAAAACTTAACCAAGCTCAATACACTTTCTAAGTCAAAAAAGGGCCATAATTCTGTCAAAAACCTTGACAGAGTTATGTACTCTTGTCTGTAGATGGAGGTTATGATGGTGAACAAGTATGGTAAGTTTCAAAAGCCATACTTGTAATACTTCTGAAATAAAGTGGGGTGGTACGAAAAACTTAACCAAGGTGTGACGCCAACGCTAACGCCGACGCCGACGCCGGGGCGAGTAGGATAGCTCCCCTTTTCATAGAAAAGTCGAGCTAAAAATGGCATCTATTTTGAAAATGCTTATGTACATCTTAACACTAAATTGCATGTGATAAAAAATTTATGTTTATATATTTAATCTATAAACACACATGTACTAATTTAATCAAATATCATATAAGATAAGAAAAAAAGGAAAATAAAAAACGGAACTACAAGTCTTTTATTTATCGATGAATGTTGAGTGTCAGCCTCTCAACCCAGGGATCACGGGTTCAAGCCTTACTGAGGTCACAACCCATTTCTTCACTACTATGACACCAGTACTGGTTAAGTTACAGATAGTGGACTCAAAAGTGGTCCATTTACAAGTTTTAAGCTTTCATCATAATCAAGCTTACATAAATATGTTTAAAATGACAATTTTTTGAAAAGGTATCTCATTGCATTTACATAGAATATAAAGATGTGTCATAGCTTAATTAATGGGTTGGTTAATAAACTTTTATATAACTTGTTGGCAGCAAAAGATTCTACTCATGTGATCAGTGCAGACCAAGACCAGCTTGCACATCAGTGCTGCCTGATCAATTATGGTCTGCACTGTTCACTATTCAGTCCCATTAAATATTTTGAAACTTCCCCCCAAAACTTGAAGAATGGTTTAGTCCAGCCAATTCATGGTATTGATTACCATAACACAAGTGGAATTCAAATTATACATATGTGGTGAATTTGCGAGAGAAAGGAAAAGGACAACCAATGCAATAGAATTATGTACTCTATATACATTGTACATTCAAACAAAGATTATTTGCTTCAGGGTCCATGCCATGTGCACAATATGACACAATTTTAACCAGCTCATCAACATAATGTAATAATGCATTAACATAGTTCTTTTATAAAATTAAAACATTGGCTCAAATTACACTATATTTTTTTGTAATTTCATCTTACACTATGTTAAACCCAGTTTTTTGTTGTGCTGGACATAGTACCTTAAATAAGTCACACCTGAGATAATTGTAGCTTCTTGGAGTTGGAACCTGTGTTTCTTTGTTTTTTAGAACATAAACTATGACATGAAGACTAACATAATGGTTAATTTAGGTTCCTCACATATGTTCACAATTTGTAAAAATATTATAAAAACTGCCAATACTTTTAATCTGCAAACTAAGTGTGTGTTAACATGATATTAAATCCATTTTTGTAGTTTAATAAAATACACACAAAACAAATACAGAAACAACAAATAATTCTATTTATAACAGAAACAAAGTTAGATTTATTTTGAGGATGGAACTATTAGATTGAATGGGAAATGATGTTGTGAAGGATCACGCCAAATGGAATGTTGTTCATCACATTTTTCACCTTAAGCATACTAGAGTGATGTGAAAGTATCTATATGAGGAAAAATACAAAGAGATAGGGGGGGGGGGGGGGGGGGGGGGGGGAAGTGGAAAATGTATCCTTCAATTAAAGCTTGCCAGTTAAAGCTAAATATAGAATGAAAAAAAAAAAAAAAAAAAAATAGCAAATTGGATGAATAAAAAAGCTTAGCAGCAGAACATTAAATGTAAAAGTTTTTCTGATTAAATGTTCAGAAAAACAATATACCTGAGTAAACAATATTACTGAGTATTTTAAAGCAGCTTCTATACTTACTTTTAGCTTGTAGTTAAGAATAATTACATATTTTCATTTTGGACATGGAAGCAATTGATTTAATAATTTCAAAACATTTCAAAACCTGAGTGTTCTTGAAACATATTTTCCTCAGTGACAGAAAAGAGCACTTTTATCTAATTTTCCTTTAAACAACACCAAAAAGTTAGAATAAAAAACCACAAAAACAATCAAATTCAAATTGATAAAGGTAAAAGTCCACACAAACAGAAATCTCTGGGAAACAAAAAGAAACTCAAACCACTCACTCTTGTCTGGTTTAATGTATCGGCAAGGTAACTCCAGCACTGTATTATATATGTATACATTAAACGATAATAAAACACCATTTCAATCTTTTAAAATATGCCTTTTTTAATGAATTATGTTTGCAACTTTTGCTTTTGTAATAAACTATATTTGTAGCCTTTGGTATTGAAATAACTATATTTGAAGCTTTTGCTAATTCTATAAGCTATACTTGTAGCTTTTGCTATTGTAATAAACTAGGTTTGTGGCTTTTGCTATTGTTATAAACTATAGTTGTAGCTTTTGCTATTTTAATAAACAAGGTTTGAAGCTTTTGCTATTGTATAAACTAAATTTGTAGCTTCTGCTATTTCACCAAACTAAATTTGTAGCTTTTGCTATTTAAATACACTAAGTATGAAGCTTTTGCTATAGTAATAAACTAATTTTGGAGCTTTTGTAAAATAAACTATTTTTGGAGCTTTTGCTATTTTAATAAACAATGTTTGTAGCTTTTGCTATTACAGTAAACTAAGTTTGTAGCTTTTCCTAAAGTAGTTTAGTATATTTGTAGTTTTGCTTTTGTAATTAACTATATTTGTAGTTTCGCTTTTGTAATAAACTCTTTTTGTAGCTTTTGCTCTTGTAATGAAATATGTTTGTAGTTTTTGGTCTTGTAACAAACTACACTTTTAGCTTTTGCTCTTTTTATGAAATATGTTTGTATTACTAGCTTTTGCTATTATAATTAAGCCATCAACAGGAAAGAGCATTTTCAGACTGCAGGTAATACACAGACTGACATGGCTTTATACTGGTAGCATAGGTATAATATAATAATAAATACAATTTAGTATTTACTCCAAATACCACACAATCCAGCATATAATACCAAGTACTAGAAATGTGTCCATAGGACACATATGCCCCCACACGCCACTGTTCTGTCAATCTTTTGACTCTAGGTCAAATATTTTTTGGACTACATGTGCCACAAGTTGAAAACTAAAAATCAACAAAAGGCCATAATTCTGTTAAATTTGATCGCAGCAAAAATTCCTTCCTTAACTGCCATCTAAACATTAAGGTTGTTCTTCCTTGTAAGTTTAAGCAAAATCTGCCATCTGGTTTAAGAGGAGTTGCGTTCACAAAATTTCCACATAGTATATAGTGAAAAAATCAAAAAAGGGCCATTACTCTATTAAATTTGGTTGCAGCAAAAATTCCTTCCTTTACTTCCATTACACATTAAGTTTGTTCATCCCTGTAAGTTTAAGCAAAATATTCCATCCGGTTTAAGAGGAGTTGCGTTCACAAGATTTCGGGACGTACGTACTCACAAAATGGTACTTATGTGACTTTTCCTTTGATCTTTTTGGCCATTTTTAGTCTCACAAGTAAAAACAGAATGAATAGGATCAAAGAGAATTTACTGTTACCCATTGTCCTCCAAGTCACACAAGTACATTTGGGTTCGTACAGACGGACAGACAGACGGACGGACGGACAGACGGAAGGACAAGTGCAACACTATATGCTCCCACTTTGTGGAAGCATAAAAACAATTGAATTACAATCATTAAAAGGCTTGGCCTAAAATTTCACACGAAGGTATGCAAAATTTTCCTTGAATATAATAAAAAAACAAGAGCTGTCTGTAGGACAGCACGCTCGACTATTCTAAGTGCTTGATAGTAAAAGAGCCTTGATAATGTTAAATTTTTTAAGTTCACAAAAGGGCTAATTTTTTTATATAAATTCATGTTATAGGTCTTAGAGAGAGTCTAATTATACAGAATTGGCTTGACTATTTGGAAGGGAATGTCACGAGGGTTTTTTATTGAGTATAATAATACTAATTACCTATGAATACATAAATTTGACAGAAAAGGTACAAAAGCTTGTTATTAAGATATTTTATCAAGTAAATCACTGCTTTATTATTATGAATGCATAAAATTGTCCCAAAAAAGGCACAAACCCTTCAGTAGTTATTGAGATAACAGCTTACAAGCAAAACTTTACCATGAATTTCTAAGTTGAAAAAGGGGAGAAAAATCAGCCTAAATGCAAGATAGAATTATGGATCTTTGTCAGTGACCTACAATTATGACCCTAAATGCATATGTGAAGTTTTAAATAAATATCTTTAATAGTTATAGAGATATGTAAAACTTGCATGTAAACATTAACCAAGAGACTATGTAGAAAAGGGGATATGAATCAGCCTTAATGCAAGATAGAGTTATGGAACTTGGTCAGTGACATACAATTATGCCCCTCCAATTATGACCCTAAGTGCATGTGTAAAATTTCAAGTAAATATCTTTGAAGATTTTTAACCTTTAACCAAAATTTCTAAGTTTCAAAGGGGCAAATAATTCTGCAAATATTGCAGACAGAGTTATGCAATTTTGCAAACTGATTGTTATTGTAAATAAGAATTTTAAATTTCAATTGAATATCTCAAGCAATAATTGAGATATTTGACTTTACAAAAAAACTTTAACCAAAATTTCGAAGTTCCAAAGGGGCATAATTCTGTCAATATGGTAGGCAGAGTTATCCAACTTGTCAATCTGATGTACATTGTTACTATAAATAAGTATTGTTAGTTTCAATTGAATATCTCAAGCAATAATTGAGATATTTGACTTTACAAAAAACTATAACCAAAATTTCTAAGTTAAAAAGGGGCATAATTCTGTCAATATTGTAGGCAGAAGTTATCCAACTTGTCAATCTGATGTACCTTGTTACTATAAATAAGTATTGTAAGTTTAAAATTGAATATCTCAAGCAATAATTGAGATATTTGACTTTACAAAAAACTTTTAACCAAAATTTCTAAGTTTAAAAAGGGGCATAATTCTGTCAATATTGTAGGCAGAGTTATCCAACTTGTCCAAGCTGATGTACCTTGTTACTATAAATAACTATTGTAAGTTTCAATTGAATATCTCAAGTTATAATTGAGATATTTGACTTTACAAAAAACTTTAACCAACGCAGACGCCGACGCGGACGCTGACGCCGGGGCGACTACAATAGCTCTCATATTCTTCGAATAGTCGAGCTAATAATACGTAATAAATTTCATCAATGAAAATTAGCTTTCAAATTTTTCTTGAACAAATGGGAACAAAGAAATCATACCAAATTTTGTGAGAGGCTGATCTTTTCCTGGGTAGTAAAGATTAGGTGGCCCCTCAGATCTGCGTCCAAATGCAACAGTCTCTCTGATTTTCTCCTGTTCCTGTTCATATATTTTCTTTCCTGCCTCTTTCTCACTCTTTAGCACCTCTGCAATGTTAGAAATATCATAACATATCAACCAAATGTTTGTCTAAATTTTAACTATGGTGCCAAATTTTATTTTAACTTTAGTTTAAGCATTTATAATTTATATAATAAGTTGGTGAAAACCTATCCCATAACCAGCTAAATTTATGTAATGAACTTGTCAAGCTTTGATTTTGGAACAGTTAAATCCAAGTGTAACGGGATTTTAATATCAAAATACAACTAAGAACTGTCATTGGAAATGACAAATGCCTCCCCAAAGCAGGGCCCAGTAAAAGGAACCATGACCTTTGACTTCATGGATGAATTAGACTACATTGGTGGCAAAAGTGTGTGCTCTTTGTTTGTTTTGTTTTAGTTCAACTCATTCAAAGGTTTACTAAAGTATAATTAATTAATTGACTTGCAGATACTGCACACACACAAAACTCACCTTGTCTGTCAAGTAATTCAACTGATGGGACTGAATGAATCACATACAGTCTGTAGTCCGGCTCTTGAGCAACAGGATTATTAAACAAATCTGTAAGTAACAAGATAAAATGGCAAGTAACAGAATGAGATTTTGGCATATGTAAGCTCCTCAGCAAACAGGATCGTTAAACAATTATGGAAGTTAAAACAAGATAAAATGGCAAGTTATAGAAACAAAAACAACTTATAAAGGTTCCTGCATCAGCAACAAGAGCTGTCACAGGAGACAGCGAAGCTCGACTAATAAAATACTGGACGCAGTAAGGAGGACAAAACTATGAAAGAAAAATCAATTATGTATAATTATGTATTAAGTTATAGTAAAAAAATGATATTTGTTAACATAAATTCCAAGATCAAGGGGAATAATTCTAGAAATAGTCATGCTAGAGTTATGGACCTTGTCACAACAACATTTGTGTATGATAAGAAATATATATTTGAAGTTTGAAGTAAGGTACCTTAACAAGAGCTGTCCGGTTCATAGGACAGCAACGCTCGACTATTCTTAGTGCTTGATTGTAAAAAAAAAAGCTTGATACAGTTACCTCCTCCTGTTTACGGGTTGGGGTAATGATGGTGAACAAGTGTGCAAAGTTTCCAAAGCCATATGTAAATGGACTTTGAAAATATTTGAGGTATTACAAAAAACTTTAACATAAATTCTAATTGAAAAAAGGGGGCATAATTCTGTCAAAATGAATTGATACAGTTACCTCCTCCTGTTTACGGGTTGGGTAATGATGGTGAACAAGTGTGCAAAGTTTCAAAGCCATATGTCAATGGACTTTGAAAAATATTTGAGGTATTACAAAAACTTTAACATAAAATTCTAAATTGAAAAAAGGGGCATAATTCTGTCAAAATGATTGATACAGTTACCTCCTCCTGTTTACGGGTTGGGGTAATGATGGTGAACAAGTGTGCAAAGTTTCAAAGCCATATGTCAATGGACTTTGAAAAATATTTGAACTATTACAAAAACTTTAACGTAAATTCTAAGTCAAAAAAAAGAGGCATAATTCTGTCAAAATGCTTGATAACAGTTACCTCCTCCTGTTTACAGGTGGGGTAATGATGGTGAACAAGTGTGCAAAAGTTTCAAAGCCATATGTCAATGGACTTTGAAAATATTTAAACTATTACAAAAACTTTAACATAAGTGGTTACGCCGACGCCGACGCTCGGGTGAACTACAATACTCTGCTTATTCTTATGAATAGTCGAGCTAAAAAGTAAAGAAGTTTATTATATTTCTTAAAAGAAAATCCTAAGTTAAAAAGAGAGATAAATGTGTAAATATTGCTTCAAGAGTATATGAAACATTGTCACATAAAATGTAATTGATGAATAAGGAATAAGTATTTGAAGTTTGAGGTAGATACCTTTTAAAAATAAAAAAGTTATAATAAAAAATAACATTTTTCTAGTAAAAAAATCTTAAGTTTATGGGGAGATAATTTCTTGCAATATTGGTGCTAGAGTTATGAACCTTGTCACATAAGTGTGGATGATGATAACGTAAATATATTTTGAAGTATGAAGTTGATCCCTTTAGAAATAAATAAGAAACAGTAAAAAATAATATTTTTTATGGAAAATTCTAAGTTCAAAGGGAAGATAAATCTGAAAATATTGGTGCTAGAGCTTATGAACCTTGTCACATAAGATGGGGATGATGATAACGTAAATATATTTGAAGTATGAGGTTGATCCCTTAAGAAATAAAGAAGAAAACAGTAAGAAATAGTACTTTTTGAGGAAAATTCTAAGTTCAAGGGGCAGATAAATCTGAAAATATTGGTGCGTAGAGTTATGAACCTTGTCACATAAGATGGGGATGATGATAAGGTACATATATTTGAAGTATGAGGTTGATCCCTTAAGAAATAAAGAAGTAATAGTAAAAAAATAGTATTTTTTTAAGGAAAATTCTATGTTCAAGGGGAGATAAATCTGAAAATATTGGTGCTAGAGTTATGAACCTTGTCACATAAGATGTGGTTGATGATAAGGAACATATATTTGAAGTTTGAAGTTGATACCTTAAGAAATGACAAAGTTATAGTGAAAAATATTTTACTGCACCAAAACTTTAATCTAAAATCTGGACGCGGACGCGGACGCCGGGGCGAGTAGGACAGCTCTCCATATACTTCGTATAGTCGAGCTAAAAAGGGTTATTTTACAAACCTGCAATGTACCAAAATGAAAAAACAAGAAATAGAATACAAATAATTAAAAAAACTAACGGCAAGTTATAGAAAAAAACAACTTATAAAGGTTTCTGCATAAATGATAAGCAAAAAGGGTTATTTAACAAATCTGCAACTTACAAAATGAAATATAAAGTATATAGAATGAAATAGTAACTAATGCTGGAACCTGAGCAACAAGATAAATTTTTAGCACCAGTATTAAACAGAATGGGAAAGCAGCTTTCGCCAATTCTTTATGGAAGAAATACTTGTACAACTTATATATATTTTACTTTTGGTATTGGCAATAGGAAAGATTAAAAGGAATATAAATGTTAGTTACACCAAAGACATTGCTCCCTGATGTTGCTTTGGCACATAGCTAAAACATAGTCTTTTGATGGCACATTTTTTTGCTAAAACATAGTCTTTTGATGGCACATAGCTAAAAGAGGCTTTGCTATAGGGAATATAAAATTGTAAAAATTATATGAAGAATGTGGCTTCTAATTTGTCTAATTTTCACTTACTAAGTATTTTAAGGCACTGCATCTTGTTGAACTCTTTCACGACTTTATCGAGTTTTGTAAGCTGGTTATTATGTAACATAAGCACTTTAAGACTTGTCAGGTGTTGTAACACGCCCGCTATATCAGTTAACTGATTGTTCTGTAGATACAGCTCTGCTAGCTGGAAATTGTTGTCTAAACAAGATATGTCTCGCAGCTGAAATAGGTAATAAAGATTGTAAACACTTTTAATTATTTATCTTTATTTATTTATATGCATACATATATATATATATATAATATGTAGTTGCTCTGTCACAACTATGGTTATCAATATGTAGTGTTCCATCAAATAGCTTACCATGAGTAGTAAGTGTTTCTAATAATTAAAAATAAGTAGTGTGTGTTCTCAATAACTTACCATGAATAGTTTGTGTTCTCAATAACTTACCATGAATAGTATGTGTTCTCAATAACTTACCATGAATAGTCTGTGTTCTTAATAACTTACCATGAATAGTATGTGTTCTTAATAACTTACCATGAATAGTGTGTGTTCTCTATATTACTCACCATGACCAGTATGTGTTCTCTGTAACTTACAATGAGTAGTATGTGTTCTAAATAACTTATCATGAGTAATATGTGTTCTTTATAACTTATTGTGAGTAATACATGTATATGTTCCCTGAGTATCTTTCCAAAAGTATTATAATGTTCATAGTTAAGTAACTAACTGTCCCAGTATTATGTGTTCCAAAAAGCTTACCATGAGTTGTCTGTGTTCCAAGCAGCTTACTACATGTATTGTGTTCCCAATAGCTTACCATGAGTAAAATGTGTCCCCATCATGTAATTGTCTATTATGTTTCATGGTTAATATATGGTCCCAGTAGCTAATCATAAGTAGCCTAACATGAGTATAGTATGTTCCCAGTAACATAAAATGAGTTGTATATATTCCAAAAAGCTTACCATGAGTATTATGTCTTCAAAGCAGCTTACCATGAGTATTAGGTGTTCCAACCCCAGATTTCTTATATTCTTGATTGTTTGGTTTTAAGACCCTAACCCATTGTATTTTTTGCCCCCAAAAGTTTTCCCCAAATGAGTATTTTTATGTTGCAAAGAGTATTTAGATGTTGACAGATATATAAACACAATCCTTTTTCTGAACACCACTCTTGAAACACTGTTGTGATTAAGGCTTTTATAACCTTGCTCATTTAGCCACAATCTACAATGTTCATTCCCCTTTTATTGTTTCAACATTAGCCCCTAAAAGGTCAACTAATTTTTTTTCAACTTAGTTCTATATACCGGTAAGGTAATTATAAATACCCGGTTCTTGTTCAGCCACAGACTTCTCAGGTACTTGAATCTTGTTAGCTCCACACATTCTGATAGGTTTCTGAAAATAAATCATTTAAAATGATGTCATAAAATGAGACTTATTAAAGCCAAGCCAATATTTGTATTCGTAACAAAATGATTTTTTAAGTAACCTAAGTTTAAACTTATGTATCTGAATATAGTTAATGCTTGTGCAAAATGAAAATTTTAAGCAAAACCCTTGAACATATTTGAAAAAAAGCTTTACTTTGCACGGGGAAACCTTTTTGGTTCATCCCCTTTCCCCCCAAATGATCTGAAGCCAATGAATTTCTGCTAGTTTTCTTTGTTGTAATTTAAAATTTTTCAAAAATTTATATTTTCTTTTTTTTGTTGTTTTTTGTTTTTTTAGTTAAAATTCATTTGCCCCTTTTTGCCCCTTCTTAGATGAACTTTCCAGCTTCAATTTTTGGAACTGTTCACAATTAAGATTTAAGGATATCAAGATAAATATCTGAAGTTCAGGCCTTACACTGCCACTGTTGAGGGCCAGGAAGAATAATACAAGAATGTGAATATGGCTCACCTGGCTAACCTGAGGTTGCACTTCAAATAGTGGCTATCCATTCCATTTTCTTTTCCAGCATGCTCAAGACTGCTGGTGGAAACAGATTCTGCCTATGCAACTAGTGCAGACCAAGATCAGCCAGCACATGATCATGGTCTGCACTGTTTGCTACATAAAACAGTATTCAGTCAATAAGCATATTTTGAAATTTACTCTAAAAATGATAGACTGAAAAATGGACAAGTTCATTTAAGATATTTAGTGTGGTACATAAGATAATGATACTGTCATACATACTGTTTTGCTAGGTAGAGTTCTTCAACATCTTTGTCCTTTTTAATGCCTCTTTCTTTTAGATGGGCCTCTAATACCTGAAATAAATACATTATCACTTTTTCATTACATCATTCTAAACAAGAAGCCTAATAAGTATATAGTAATTTGCTTCTAGCAGTTTTGTAAACAAACATGTACTAGTTTGTCTCACAATAACAGTTAAACTGAGAATTCAACAATCACATAGCCATACTTTCAATCAAATTTTCAATTTAGTAGGATGGTTATTTGGTACTTTAATTTTTTGCTGCAGTTACAGAATTTTTTTCTGTTCATATTGAACTGGTAAAGTGTGGGGAAACAATGATGGGATAGGCTGTTCCCCCAGTAGGATGGTCCCCTATGGTACCATTGTTCTTATTAATTCCTGCAAATTCTACATTACAAATAAAAGAACGTGTACATGTATTTACTATTTTTATTAAATTGTGTTTAACTGTCACATCTTGACTTTAAAATACACATGTCATTCATAGAATAACTCAATGATTTAAATTTAAAACATCTATGGTCAGTCTGTGAGCCATGTTTTGAATGGGAGCTTAAATGGAGAGCACTATAATGATATCATGGTTTGTAATTTGATGGCCCTGTTTGGCTTCAGTAGAATTTTTTTCAACAGAATATAACATCACTACAGTTTCAGCAGGCGACCTTCACTTGTCAGAACATGACATTAACTGGTTAATATGGGATAAAATACAGAAATATTTTCAACACACGTGGGCAGCTTTGGATTTTTCCTATCAATGACAGAAATTTATTTTAATTAATGAAAAATATTTCTAACAATTTCTATCCAAATTAAAAAAGCAGCACTTCCACTTTCACGTTAATGATGAAAAACACATTTAACTGTCATTTTCTAATTACAGCGGAATGGCAAGGACATGGTACCAGCGGGGAGTACTATACCAGTGGGAAACTGTTGGGATTTGTAGTCTAGTCTATTAATTAATCCTTAGTCCCAACTATATTAGACCGTTAACGGCCGCTTGTTATAGTTTCCCTGTCGGTCAAAGCCCTGACTTGCCCCAGAAGCAAAAATATCTTCAAAAACGCGACGTCAGTAATCCTATAGGGGACAAAATTAATCCTGTGATTACCTTTCTCCCAAAAATGACCTTTCGCTTTCGAGATATTTTTGCTTCTTGACAAAGCAAGGACATCGGGCTTGACCATCATAAACTATCCCTGCGTTGGGTATTTTCGTGGGCTCACAACATCTGATAAATTGGACTTGGGATTAACTAAATATATCAATATTGATAATTCAGTCGCAAACCATTCGGCATAGGGCATGTCAGCATATATAAGAAGGCTCTCTCTGAGTGTAATGGGGTTAGAAACATAAGGTTAGAATCAACAATTAATCTGTTGACATAGGGCATGTCAACATGTAAGAAGGCTGTGTCTAGGTGTAATGGGTTCAGAATTACCAACCAATCAGCAATCTGAATCTTTTTCTTTTTTTATCACACAATGTGACAGGTTATAAGTTGTAACTGGCAATCAGCTAATTAAACATAGATGTGAAGAAACAATTGTTAAAATGGTATTAAACTTGTTAAAAACTTTCAAATGGTGTCGTTTAAAGTAGAAATAATGCTTAAATATCTTAAGTGACACTAGCCTTTGCGGAGGCCGCCATCTTTGTTGTTGCCCTTACAATTAAATCATTCAGAGTCACCTCATGTTTGTTTTCGTATTAGTCAAAATTGAGAAATAATGAAAAATCATTTAAATTGACACATAGTTTATAAAGTTTAACCTTATATTTTTATTTTCTCTTGTATCAAGGATTTAATTGAATTAATCAGTACTATTTAAACGACTGGAATTATTGTTGTCGATTCGTACTTTGTTATTTTCAACCACGTACTTTACACTATTCGTCCCGGTTAAACTAATTGATAAATTGTATAAAAGAAACAATCGTTCACAAAATTGAACATCGACTGGATTTGATAAAATATAAAATATTGCCTTGAAGGTGGGGATAATCAAAGTTCATCTTCACGAACTATTTATGTAAGTATTTTAAACCTTGTTACTATTTTTAGACGGCAAGGATTTTAACACGTGATCTACTTTCGTTTTGCATTTTCGGAAATTGATATACAAATTTTCACATTATAATATATTTTAACTGTTTAATGATGAAACATTGTTTCGATTATTTGGAAATTATTGCGATTCCGTTAGACCGATTTTATTGGCCGCATTAACCAAGTCTTGGGGAGAGACACTTGATTCCCAAACCGAGGCATATCTCGAGCCGAGTGGAATTTCCAGCCGGGCCGAGTCATTGAATTGGACAGGTAAAAATTTTGTTGTTGTATTTTCTTAAACAAACAAATCCCATTTCATATAAGCAACATTATTATGTTAATTAACTGTTTGTAAGCTATCATATCTGCTATACAGACTGCAGCAAGCACAATTTTATTTCATATATATTTTTTTCTTTCTACATGTGTGTACTTTCGATTTGAAAATATTTTCTTGCAAGATATATATTCTTTCATGACAGTATAACCAAACGTAACAATTTAAGCTCATATGAACACATAGTATTACATGTTGAGCTGTTGGTTTGTTGTCATGCTACAGTACATATGTAGTCAACTGTCAGATAACATTTAACAAATACATGCACATCTAAAACATTTTTAAAACAGAGGGAGAAATGTTTTTTATAATAAACTAAACTTGATGCGATTTTATTTCCTTGTGAATGAAAAATGCCCTATTTACCATCAAGTCTCAATAAAGTTGACTGTAAAAATTGAGGTTCAAGTTTTTACACATTTTATACATGTAACTGACACAGATTGGTGTTACATTCAGGTGCGTGATTAAGGCCCTCTAAGACCTCTAACAGAATACTATAGCCTTACCTGAGCATGCAGCCCATATGAAACTGTCCATCCAGTAGTGATTGAGTCTGACTGTCTATGTAAGCTTTTTCACCAAAACCACTTGACAAATAATGACGAAACATGCAGGAGTAATTGTCATGAAGTCTTCTTATGAAAATTACAAAAATTTGACCTTGACTCATAAAAATTAAATATCTTGACCTTCAAGGCTAATTCCTTGAACTTTGCTAATTTTGGCTATATATTTGGCTAAATCTTTATCTTTGATTTTATTTATTGTACTTATACACTTGGACATTACAACCCTTTGGACCTCCAATTTGATCATATTCAACTTGACCTTGACCTTTTTATGACCTTGACCTTTATGCTTAACTTTTTGCAGAAATTGGCCATAAATTTGTTGTTCATGGGGATATATTCATACATGTGCATTAGCAAATAAACACATAGTTTTTACTATTAAACTGTAAGGTTGAGTATTTCAAGAATAACTTCTAGTACATGTACATGTAAGTTAAACTGAAATTGACCTTGATGTCTATATATGAATTAAGTCACCTTGACCTTAATGGTAACATTATTGAATTTTACTAAAATAGCCACAATTATGTTTGTTATTAATGGGCACCTTAGATTCATGCTTGGAAAAGACAACACTTGTTACTATCATGTTGAGCAATGCAAGTGTGATATTGACTGTTGAATTACCTTGACCTTTATGGGCAAATTATTGACTTGAGCTTTACTTGTCAATATTTTTTTTAATGGATGTATATTGTAGTGTATTCATTCTTAGACATTATCTTCTAGAAATTTCAATCATGAAGGTAATAATAAAACTGAATTTGACCTTGACCTTAATATGACCTTGACCTTTAAACACTTGATTAAATCATTGTATTTTGATAAAAATGGCCACAGCTTTGTTGCTAACAGACACCTTTGAATAATACTCTAAGAACCAAACCCTTTTATTAGTAATTGCCTATAATAATGTTCTTAACTGATTTATAAGGCAAATTATTGAATTCTGTCCATAGTAAAGTATTTCAAGTATGCATGGGATATTTATCAAATTAATTGACATGTCATGTAATGATAGTTCTAGTTGTTAAATAACAAAAAGCACCACATTCCAGTGATTTTGACTTTTGGCTTAACACAATCCATGTAAAACTTTTCCTATGGAGACATTCAAATGGTATAATACCTGCTGAATTTCACAGCAGCTCAAGATTGAATTGTTTCACACAATATTTGCACAAAGAAAAAACTAGATGCATTGACTTTAATGGCATTGACCAGGACTTGGGGTGGTTGTCCAGGTTTTAATACAATGGACTTGCAATGAATAAATGTTAATTATAAAAATGGATTTCAATTAATAAATATAAAATAATAAACTAAAAATAAACAAATAGTTTAGATAATGAGATAGTTGTGTACATGTAATTAAACTATAAATAGGTAAATAAATAATGATTGAATAAATATTGATTGAAGTTATACTTCATTTTGATATATGTTGGTTTATTGCAGGATTTACATATGTTAAATCAGCATTATAGAGGTGAAGATGGCAACATATATCCCTCTAGAGTGCTCTGTCTGTAACAAGATGTTTTCAGGACCTATTCCAGCACAGGCCCATTTCAGAAGTAATATTCATCATAAGAAAATGGAAGCATCAAAACAGCAACTTCCAGGTAATAAGAATTAAAGATCCTGTAACTCATTTTTTTATGGTTTTATATCATAAATATGGTGAAATTGTTTAAGAAGAATTATTATATACTTGTATAAAATTTCACTGAAGTGTTGTAACATCCTTAATTACATCATACAGGATCTTTAACCCTTAACCTACTGGAAACAACAGAAAAGGGAAGTCTTTGCCACAAGTATAGGACCAGGCCAGCCTACACATCTGTGCAGTCTGACCAGGCTCTATATTGGTGGTGACTACCTTTTATTGTTCATGCTGATATCCCCAAAAATACTAGCCTGGTTCCAGTCTGTAGATTTTTTATGTGCTTCTGTTTGGCAAATTGACATTGATATTATCAAAAACACAAACAAGTATGAAATAGCGGGTATGTTATAAGTAAGAAAAATATTAACACCTGAATCCCAGGCTAAATAGATACGTGTACATTAGTTCCAACGTTGTAATTTATCAGGTTTAGAGTTACTGTTGCTATAACCAAAATAATAAAAAGATTAAAATACATGTAACTGCTATATCTGTTTTGTCACTGATACAATTGTTAGTTTGATTAATTTAGATATTCCAGGTGCCTTCATTCCGACATCTGCATATTTAGTTCTTATCTCAAAAACTACTGTAAGAAATGGGTTGAAACCTCACACACTTGTTCTCTGAGATTAACTTACATGATTAGCACAGATCCTATAACTCCCTTTTAGTAAACTGTCAAGCACAGAGCACTCACAGTCTTATGGACTGCCCTTGTTTTACTTTAATGTTTAAATGCCATAAGTTGAAATATTGGTTATTTGAAATTCAAAGCTTTATTGTGCAAATTTTAGTGGATAAAGGGTTAAAGCTGCATGCCTCCAGATGAGCCAAAATATTTCAAGAAAATCAATATTGAGAAAAATGTACTAAAATTTTAAGAAAGGTAAAATCATTCAAGATCCAAGTTATATTTTACACGTTATGTGTGGTTTACGACTGATTTTGCTGTAATTTATCACCATATTTCTACTGCATTACTTACACAATAAGGGCTGTTTTTGCTTATGTTGACCACTTTTTGTTAATTTTCTTGGATTGTAAGTGCCATGGGCAATATGTAAATTACTTTATTTGTTCACCTCACATTATTTTACTTGGAAATACCTTTCCAAAATTTTTATGAAAATTAACAAATCTGGAGGGTGCTGCTCTAAACTACATAAGGTAATATACTTGTATAATATGTACATGTATGCATTTGTTTCAATTTCAGGTTTAATCTTTTTGTTTCAATTTCAGGTTTAACCTGCCGGATATGTAATATAAATTGTGATACAAGGCTTCAACTGCAGCAGCATGAACAGTCACCAAGACATTACGCAAATGCAGAAAAACTACAGAAATTTAATTACTTCGGCAATCACTTACCTACAGACAGTATGAGTAATGAAGGCAAAATAGTTGGAAAAAATAATAACAATGTGAGAAACTCTCTAACTTGTGATACATGTGGAGTGTCATTTACTGGTCAAGAAAATGCACAGCAACATTATAGTAGTGAAAAACATAGAAAACAGGTGGTTTTGATGGAGAAACATAAAAGAGGTGAGTCACTACCTTTGGAATGCAAAATTTGCAAGTGCTCTTTCACAGGCCAAGAAAATGCAGAGGATCATTTCAAAAGTAAAAAACATAAAAGAAACAAGGAAAATATGAGCATTCAGTCTGAAGGATTACATACTGAAACAGCCCCTTTTCCCAGGGTAGTCGTGCCAGGACCCCAATTACATGTCATGCATGAAGATGATACTTTTGTACACCAAGATGATTCACCAAATTTATCAAGACCTGTGGCACCTTCCACTCAGAGTGTCAAAACTGCTACTGATCCTCATGATTTGCCACATGTATTTAAACCTGTGCCAGTAAAATCTGCAGATTTGTTTCAGTATGTTAAAGAACATCCTGATAGTTCAAAAGAGGATATAAACCACCTGCATGGTACAAGCACGAAGAGTGTGTTCAAAGAAGAAATAAATGATACATTTTTAGCAAAGCCAGTGCAAGACAGACAACAAATGTCAACTGTAAGAGACATATCTGCAGGTGATGACGAAGATGAACTAATAGTAAAGCCAATAGAAAATGATGATGACAATCAGAATACAGAAAGTAGAACAAGGCACAGACAAAATAATTCTTTAAGTCCCACAAGGGTTGGGCTCTTTAAACGAGTGGATACTGAGAATGATACAAAAGGATACAGTGAAGATAGTCTAGTAGTCAAACCAGTTGATGGAGAAAATGAAACACAGAACAGGCAGACCAATAGGGAATGGCCTGAGACTAATGCAATGTTTGAATCTTTGTCAGAATTGAAAATAAAAGAAGAAACTAACACACATAATGTACCAGAGTTTAAATCAGTAAGTAGGAGCACAGGAGACTTTTCGTCTAGAAACACGTTGCCAGTTAGATTTGTGAAGAATGATCTGGACCAATCACTGGCGCCGATGGGACGTGGGCGTGGTATATTCACAATGCTAAGACAACAAGATGAAAATCTGCCAGAAAAAGTGGTTAATTCAAATAAACTGAACAATGAGTATCTTTACGATTGTGAAATATATGATGATAATGAAACACAGAAAAAGTCAGTTTGGCAGGATACGCCAGCAGCACCTAGGCGGAAAATAACGGATAATGAAGGAGACGATTCTGATGAAAATGAGCAAAGTCAATACAATAGTCAACCACATTTCACTAAGAACAATGGATACCATATGACAGTTTCTAGGTCCCCGAGCACAGTTTCTAGTTCCCCAAGCACAGTTTCTAGCTCCCCAGCAGCAGTGTCTAGTTCCCCAACAAACTTTTTTCATCAGAGGTATGGTGAGAGAGGTTATTCTCCCAGTGACTTAGATACCTCAAGTAAGCTGGAGGAGTATATATTTGATCCGTGTACAGGTCGGGGAAAATGTTACATATGTGATATTGATTTTACTTCTAGTAAACATAAGAGCCAACATATTCTAGGAAAGAATCATCTTAAAGCAAAGGAAGTACGTCAGGGATTGATTAAAGTAGGGAAAACAGCCAGTGGCTCCCTAATTTGTACAATCTGCTCGGTCACATTCCCCGGACCAGAAGCTAGGCAGCAGCATTTCGAAAGTGAAAAGCATAAACGGAAAGTAATGCGCCATCAAGAAGAAGAGACAAATTCTTATTACTGCGATATTTGTCAAATATCTTGCACTGGACCTGAAAGCTTTACACAGCATAGGTTAGGTGCTCAGCATAGAAAACTTGCAGGTGAATTAAATGAAGAGTATCAAGATATGTCTGCCCCTAATTATGACCGCACTAAATGGTACCCATGTGAAATTTGTAAGTGTAACATGAACACAATTGAACAGTTGAGATTTCATGAAAAGTCCCCAAAACATTTGAAACAATTAGAAAAACAGATGCCAGGTGGTTTGCCAAGTAATGATCGTACACAATGGTTTCCATGTAATGTTTGCAAGGTGAATATGAATACGTATGAACAACTTAAAATTCATGAACAGTCTCCAAGACATATAAAACAAATGGAAAAGCAAATGCCGAGTGCCGTAGGAAGTTCTGATCGTACTCAGTGGTTTCCGTGCAGAATATGTAATGTTAATATGAACACCTTTGAACAACTTAAAATCCACGAGCAATCTCCAAGGCATTTAAAACAACTTGAAAAACAAATGGATAATGGAAATACTTCACCGCACGACCGTTCTACTTGGTTTCCTTGTAACGTATGTAATTGTAAGATGAACACACGAGAACAACTCCGTATTCACGAAGCTTCACCCGCACACATTGCTAAATTGAGAAAGTATAATGATATTCAACAAATGGCACCATCTGATTCAGCATCAAGACAAATTATTGATCCAAGTTGGTCACCAGGATCAGCAACACCTTTAGAAAGTTTTTTATCAGAAGAGTTGTTTCCTGAAGAATTTTTACCACCATCTGATTCAACTATGCATAACAATAACACCAAAAAATTAGAAGATTATTTCCAGGAACAGTTGGTTGAGTCTGATAAACCTTTTCCTAGAGCTCCGAGGTTTGCTGTTGTTACCCCAGAACAACTTGAGAGGGATACAACAAACTCACCAGGGGCTGGTGGGACCAAACGTGGAATGGGGAGTGATTTAGCTTTTGCAACAAGAAACAGAGGTACTAGGGAAAATAGCAACAGGTCTAGAGAACGGTCAACACATTCATGCACTGATGACTCACCTTCACAAAGTGTGAGACCAATGCAGTTTGTTACTAGCCAAGAAGTTGGTTACAAGCCTAATCAAAACATGCACACGGCTCCTTCGAAAATGGACCCTACTGAGAACAACCCATATGCAGCAACCCATCGCTATTATTGTCATACATGTAAAGCGCCAATGAATACTAAAGAGACGTACGACAACCATATAAGAGGGAAACGTCACATGCAAAAGGTGTGTACTGAACAAGCGCCGAAGAGACAACATAATGCGCCAATAAATTTGCCTGAAGACTTTTTGCCGTATACGAAAACAAATCCAAGAAATTATCAACAAGAATTATATAAGAAGAATATGAGAGGGAACACACTTTGCTTTTTGCCAACAGGTTAGTTGAAATAGTTAAACGCTTGTCTGTATTTACACGGACTTTAAAATTACTACTGTATCACAACGAATATTCGCGACCAGTTAATATTTGTATAAGTATTGAATATAGTTTTGGGTTTGATACATTGGTATTTATATGCCATATGTTACTAAACCTTCATTTTACTTGTCCATCTATGCATTAATGTTTTTTAAAACTTTTTCTGACCAACAACTGAATGTTTTTAGGGACTGGTAAGACGCTGGTATCTGTGATGACGATGAGCGCCATGTTGGAAAAACATCCGTCCAAAAATGTTCTTTTCCTGGTTGACAAAGTCTTGCTTGTAATCCAACAATCTCAATATATCAAGTCAGAACTTGAAGAGAGAGAGTTTAATCGGTATGTATTATTCATGTATTAGGACGGATTTCGTAGGCCTGGACTGTAATTTTCTGGCCATTTGTAATTATAAAAAGGGCTATCATTCATTAATTTAATTTACTGATATTAATTGTTTTATCCTAAAAAGACACATGATCATCAAAGTTTACATCATTGATTTAGAACAATTTCACCTGGATCTAGCTTCCAATTTATAAGTGCATAGTGCTACATATGCAAATTAGCTTATTTTCTGATAACCATGGTATAATTGATGACACCGTTCAAGACAGGGGCTATCATATGCATATTAGAAGGAAATAATATTTGGTTTTATGCTTAATATATGCTTATTTTTCAGTTAAAGGCATATGAAATTGCTTAAAACTCCAATCAATTTTGGTTTTGTGCATGTCTTCTACATTTGTAACAGTCAGAAAATACTAATTCAAAGGAAAAAATTGATGAAATTATAAATAATCAAAACCTTAGGCTTAGAGGCATAAGTAAATGAAATACTTCTATATCTCCAATGTAATTTGTTTTAAACAAAATTTATTTAAGATTGTGTTGGAAAGGAAGCTATAAGGTTATAGACACATTATCGAATATGTTCCTAGGACCAACCTGTACTGAACAGTGCGTGTAAAGTTTGCAATTGCTTGCCCCTGATGGGGATTGAACCAAAGCGACTAACAACCACTCAGATTACTAGTGGACGCCATATTTCTAGTGGACGCCTTTAATTGTTTAAATATTAGACAGTCATGTGATGTACAAACGTAATGAAATGCTTTTTTGTACACTTATGTGAATCTTGGAGACTTACAAACCGAATTAATTAATAGTGATAATTTATGTTTCAGCTTCAATCCAGATAGTGATAACCCGTTAGACATTGAGAGAAGAAAACTGCGTATAGCGGCTGTATGTATGGGTCAGCAGGCGACACATGGAATTCCATTGTGGAAGCACGATGTTGTTGTAGTTACTGCTGGTACAATTTATAGTTATAATCTGTTTCACTTTTAATATTTAGTTATAGTATTGGTTATAAAGATTCCTCGACAGGTTATATGGTTAGTAAAGCTTCTATAATCGTAGCTTTAAGACGCGCATTATATAACAAGCAGATGTTACTAGTAATGTAAAGTTTAAAAGCTGTGGCCAGAGTATTCAAAATTCTGTCAGAATAGCAAACTCCTGTTATATTCCATGTAATCTTGTGCCCGCACATAATATATAATAAAGTTATGGTGTGAAAAATCTTAAAATGTTTTTTCCCCTCATAATTAAGCAATTGGTCATGTTTTAAATAAGCTGTTATGATAGGCTTATGTACATAGCCAATACACATGTAATACACATTCATTACATAATGTCTTGGCGTTAAAAATAGAAAATAATCTCTGAAAAAAATGACTGTATTTTCATTACAAAACTTATTTATATAATCAATACAAAAATATGTATATATGATTTATATAATTTATACCATTGTATTTAGGTTTGAATTATATAATTTCCCACACACGTTTCTATATGATTTATATAATTCATACAAATGTAATTAAATTTGATTTATATAATTTATACAAATGTATCATTTAATATATGATTTATCTGAATAGTTTTTAATTTAACATGGCTTTTTAAAGTAGAGCACTGGAAATGAAATATAAATAATTAATTGTTAAAAACAAGTTTGATTGCATGTACATCTATTGTCAGCTGAGCCTGCCGAATTTTAAAAAAGAAACATATATGATAATGTCTTTATGCAATTTTTTGACAAATGATGACTATTTTGTCTGTTTCAGCATTTTGTCAAAATCTACTGGACAAACAAATATTACGATGGGAGGATTTCAGTCTGATTGTTTTTGATGAAGCTCACCATTGCGAAAAGGGCCACCCATTTAATACCCTCCTCTCCACTTACCATAGACGCACCCTCCCAGAAAATAAACCAAAGGTTCTTGGACTTACTGCATCCCCAGCAGGTAAAGCAGATGTCCCCAAAACACTTCAAATGCTTCGTGGACTGATTAGCAATATGGGCGGAGTGCGCATGACAATTGTTGAAGAACATGAAAATGTTGACACATTAAATGAGTACCAGTCTAATTCCAAAATGATCATACGACCACAGCTTGCACCGAGTGATTTGATTGAAAGTGGCCTACGACACGAACTGAACATATATATTATGAATTGTTTAATGAAACTTTATCAGTTTTCAAATATTAAACACTACGTCGACTTTGGAAGGGGATTTACTGCTAATATTTCAGATGAAGAGGTGAAACGAGTGGCAGATGACTTTGTTGAGAAGAATTTTGACATGATTCAGTCAAGTATGAATATGATAGATAATGAAAATGAGAAGGCAATAGGTAAAGCTGAATTTTATCATTTGTGCATGCATGTTCAGTCAATTTGCATGGCATTGAGTTGTCTTGAGGAAGGAGGTGTACTCATTGCTTTGAGCGAATTGGAGGAATTAGAAACTACTGATTTTAATCTAAATTTTGCAAGGCGGCTTGGGTTGCCAACAGTTCCTCTTCAGCAGATAGTGGCACGACAAGGAGCAGGCTTAGGAGGTCAAGATGCGAATTCTGCAACAGGTCTGCATATGCAACGTTTAATTGACGAACTTACAGCGGATATGTCTGCGACTGAAGGCGTAAGAAGTATTTCTTTAGTTTTGGTGAAGCAAAGATGTACAGCTCACCAGATAACAAAAGTTTTACTAGTAAGCAGTATTTTATATTAAATTCATTTTCAAAAAAACTTAAAACTTAAATGAACATATAAGTCAATGGTTAGTGCAATATCAAAGTAATTGTTATTTGTTTTTCAGTTGTATTATAAATATTTACGATTTTGAATTTTTATGCTCCCCGAAAAAATTTCGGGGGAGCATATAGTCGCCGCCTTGTCCGTCCGTCCGTCCGTCTTTCCGTCCGTCCTTCCCCTTTTCTTGTCCGGGACATAATTTTGAAACAACAAGTGGTATCAACATGAAACTTTGTAGGTAGATAGATCTCATTGAGAAGGTGTGCAGTGCACAAAAACCGTAACTCTGCCTTGCCTAATTTTTGAATTATTCCCCTTTGTTTATTTTTACACTTTGAACTTTGTCCGGGACATAACTCTAAAAGTATAAGAGGTATCAACATGAAACTTTGTAGGTAGATAGATCTTATTGAGAAGGTGTGCAGTGCACAAGAACCGTAACTCTGCCTTGCCTAATTTTTTAATTATCCCCCTTTGTTTATTTTACACTTTGAACTTTGTCCGGGACATAACTCTAAAACTATAATAGGTATCAACATGAAACTTTGTAGGTAGATAGATCTCATTGAGTAGGTGTGCAGTGAACAAGAATCGTAACTCTGCCTTGCCTAATTTTTTAATTATCCCCCTTTGTTTATTTTACACTTTGAACTTTGTCCGGGACATAACTCTAAAACTATAATAAGTATCAACATGAAACTTTGTAGGTAGATAGATCTCATTGAGTAAGTGTGCAGTGAACAAGAACCGTAACTCTGCCTTGCCTAATTTTTGAATTATCCCCCTTTGTTTATTTTACACTTTGAACTTTGTCCGGGACATTACTCTAAAACTATAATAGGTATCAACATGAAATTCTGTAGGTAGAAAGATCTCATTGAGTAGGTGTGCAGTGCACAAGAACCGTAACTCTGCCTTGCCTAATTTTTGAATTATTCCCCTTTGGTTTTTTTTACACTTTGAACTTTGTCCAGGACATAACTGTAAAACTATAAGAGGTATCAACATGAAATTTTGTAGGTAGATAGATCTCATTGAGTAAGTGTGCAGTGCACAAGAACCGTAACTCTGCCTTGCCTAATTTTTTAATTATCCCCTTTGTTTATTTTCACACTTTGAACTTTGTCCAGGACATAACTCTAAAACTATAATAGGTATCAACATGAAACTTTGTAGATAGATAGATCTCATTAAGTAGGTTTGCAGTGCACAAGAACTGTAACAATGTCTTGCCTACTTTTGGAGTTATAGCCCTTTGTTCATTTTGACATTTTGAACTTTGTCCGGGACATTACTCTAAAATTATAAGAGATATCAACATGAAACTTTGTAGATAGATAGGTCTCATTGGGTAGAAGTGCAGTGCTTAAAAATCATTACTCCGCCTTGCCTTATTTTGAAGTTATTGCCCTTTGTTTATTTTTACTTTTTGACTTTTGTCCGGGACATAACTTTAAAACTATTAGAGATATCAACATGAAACTTTGAAGGTACCTAGATATCATTGGATAGAACTGCAATGCTTAAAGAACCTAAACAAAGCCTGGTCTTATTTTGGAGTTATTGCCTTTTGTTCATTTTTACACTTTGAATTTTACCAGGGACATAATTCTGATATCATCAGGAAACTTTATAGATAGATAGATCTCATTGAATAGAAGTGCAGTGCAAAAAAACATACCTCTGCCTTGCCTGTTTGGAGTTTTTGCCCTTTGTTCATTTTTTTATACTTTCCTTTGTCCAGAACCTTCTCGGGGAGCATCACCCGGTTCAACCGGTTCTTGTTTAATCATGAAAGAAAAAAATAAAGCTAAAATAGCTGGTGCCATAGGTGCAATCTGTCCAGGCAGTATTCCTTTTGCAGTTCATTCTGTTCATGTTTGTATTTTGATATTTAATCACTTAAACTTTAATTTGACTGCTTCAAATTCAAAGCAGGCAAAATCAGTCACATAAATTCAACAGATTAAGGGATAGATTAATTGATTTGATTAATGATTATAAATTAAATCTTTAATAATGTCCATCTTGTATCACAGAAATCAGATAGGATGAGAAAACTAGGTTTGAACACAACGTGTGTGGTTGGTCACGGAGGAAGTGGAGCAGCCGACAAGGGGATGAACGTAAACCAACAGAAGCGCGTGCTTGAGGAGATTAAACAATATCAGTATCAGGTAAATTGTTGCTTTGGTTAAATGTTGATTGACAAATTATATGTATGTTTATATATTATGTAGTAATATAGTTGTTTGCACATTTAAGCATTCGTAGACAAATCTATATTTATTTCCAAGATTTATCATAAATTGAAATATCTATATAATACATGTATATCCATAAATATGTTTATGTTGGTAAGAAAATATTTTTGAAATAGAAGATTTTGAAAACCTTGTACACTATTTGGAGTAACTATTTTCTTTAAACATATGTTTTGGCACACACCTTTACATTCTTGTACGGTAAGTCTGTTTCTGTATCTAGGTGATAGTTGCTACATCGGTTGCCGAGGAGGGCGTGGACATGCCAGAATGTGAGCGTGTGATAAGTTTGTACCCGCCTTCCACAGTGACCGCCCTTGTTCAGATGCGCGGTAGAGCTAGGAGGAAAAATAGCAAGTTCATTGTGTTGTGTTCCAATCAAGAAGAAGAGGGGAAACTTTACGATATCATGCAGAAAGAGAAGAATATGATTGAAGCTACTGAATTACTGATGCAAGAAAACAGAGACACGGAGGCGTATTAAAGCAATTGAAAAATAGTTGCCATAAACATGTTTACGTTTATATATATTTGCTTTTAATTATGCGATGTTCATATTATTATGTAGATTGAATTAATTGTTTTGAAAATGTTTTCTCCTACTCTTTAGCCATTACACCTGTCTTAAATTTGAAATAGTTAATTTAATATTGATTTCAAATTCAACATACAAAGACTGTGCTGCACACAGTATAGAAGAGGGTCAAACTGCAGGCCTTGCTCTTTTTCATGTCGCAATGGTCCATCACTTATGGTTTTAGCATGTTAAGTTTAACAATTTACGGAGCCAAATTCACTTTTGTACCAAAACTTGTCATTTTTCAGTGTTCGTATATGTACATAGTACATATAGTTTAAGGAATGATAATTAACTCTTAGTCTTAGTCTTAGTTTAAAACTAGATACATTTCCATTTATTCGCAACAATTTTGCAAAATAGGCATAGGAATTGAGTATTAGTAATTAAGAAATTGTTTTTCTTGTTATTTTTCTTGTTTGTATTGTTAAATGTTACTGGGTTATAAAACTTTTGTTGCACAGATGCTTGATGTTTATTTCATGTTTGCATATTCATGTACAAGGTTGCCAAGTTGTCTTTCTTAAATTTAAACTTTCATGATTTTATTACATGTATTTCATTATAGATATAATATCAGTTTTAATTTTATTGTTTGGAAAAGACAGTTGGATTTGTTCAGATTTTATAATTAAATTGAAATATTTCTTATAGGATATATATCCCTTCTCACGCATCTTGTTTAATCTTTATCACATATATCATTGTAAAAAAATCAAATTTGTACAAGGAACTTCATTAAATGTATTTAATCATTGAAAAATACTTTTTTTTTTGAAACAAGAAGTGAATGAATGATCGATATGAACTTTTGCACACAAATTATGCTACATTATTTTACTCGAATTGTGACCAATTTTTACAGGGAACTTTATTAAAAGTATTTAATCATACTTGGAGGGACTTTGGAGAGTTTTTTTGTTGTAACTAGAAATACTTTTTAAAGTGTTGTGTATCATACTGGCATTGATATACATCCATGGACCAAATACTTGCAAAATTTCATATCAAAAAAAGTATCGTTTGTGCAAAATAACCCAAAAATGAAAAACAATTAAACACTTTGATTGGGTTTAAATACGCACAAAAGTTATTTTCTTACTTATTTTTATTTCAACAGTTAGTTGATTTATGTTAAAGTCTCAAAATATATGTTTTTAGACTTTTGGATCTTAGTATAGTTCCATTTCAATTTCATCCGTTCACTTGACTGTGGCCACGCGATAGAAATTGCGTTCTGTTGGTCAACTTAAAACATTGCATGGCCATGTTACGGCTGCTGCATTGGCATGTAAGAAGTAGCATGTGCCCAAGTATGTCTTTTGCTTCGTTTTACTTCCACATGTACACGTACTAGCTATCACGCATTTACGCAATAGCTGTCGCGTGACCACGTACCACATTATAGATATCGCATGCGCATGTTGTAAATTAGCGATCATAAGTCCCATTTTTACCATTGTATTTTATTTTACTGTTTATTCTGACATGCATAGTGAAGTAGGTAAACATATTCTTTATTTTGAAACGGTATTAACGCTGTTGGACCCACTTTGTTTTGAGAAAGATATGTTGTATCCAGGTATATATATGTTAATATACGTAATCTTGTGATATTTTATTCATCATTTTATCTAGTTGTAGATTCCTGTATTGATATTGGTGAAGGATTGGAGAAACCACTTCATTATCCAGAGCCAGTGTATTTTTTGCTTTTTGTTTGATCTTGATCTTGTTGCATGTGCTCTTATATATTTGATGTTGCCAAAGAATGAAACTATCACGTTGCTTGGCTTTTATTCTGAATATTCATACTGACTTGTGTAAATATAAATACAAGGGATGTAAGCGATTTTAAACAGAATCCTTTTGAGTAAGCCAGTTTGTAAAGAAGACAATACTTACTCTATAATCATGCATGTACTATTTACTAGTGCTTTGTCCACCAGTAGCAATTTTTTGTTGTAGTATAACGGAATGTATTGTGATGGTTTGAAAATATCAACATGAAGTATACTTGCGCAAAATGTAATTGATACTATATTGAACCTGTAGTTGCAGCCTTAGAGTGCAAAAATTATGAGTGTGTGTGTGTGTTTAAGCTTGTTTTTGCATGTTTAACTTCTAAACTTGCTTTTTTGAATCACTGTAAAAAGATCATTTGATGTTAATAATAAGGACAAATATTGTGACGTTTTGGTTTGTTAAAGCAACATGCCTACAGTGGATGAGTAAAATTGATATTCAAAATTTATCAAGCTTAAGAAAAATCTATTCATAGTTTATGAAATAGATAAACTTTCATTTATAATCCCTGTAGTAACTTGAATGAATTGTGCAAAATGTGATCGAATTTATACCTTTTATCACTTAATTTTTAATATAAACTTAGTAAAAATGTATTAATAACATACCCTATGCCAATTTTACGACTCCGTAAAATGGTATTGCACGGCCGTGCATATATTTGCGTTACACAAACAGTGTAAAAACGCTTTATTATACTCCCCGAAGGTCAAGGTCACGGCATGACCTTTCAGCAAAATCGTGTCCGGTCCATAACTTCATTATTTGAAGTCGGATTTTAAAACTATTTCACAGAAATGATCATTATATTGAGACGATGTGTGGCAACATTTGGGTGGCTACCTTCAAGGTCAAGGTCACAGCATGACCTTGCAGGAAAATCGTGTCCGGGCCATACCTTTGTTATTTAAAGTCCTATTTTACAACTATTTCATAGAAATGATCACCATATTGAGACAATGTGTCGAGCGCAACATTTGGGTTGTTTATACACTTTGAATTGTCTGTGTCATAACTCTGACACTACAAGAGGTATACCTTCCTGTGTCCAAAACCTATTCAGGGAGCATCACCCGGTTCAACCGGCTCTTGTTTATTAAATGTTAGCATTAAAATATATAATGAAAAAAATTTATACAGTCCGTTTTGGGTATGTGATAAAATGAATATTATATTCGTGTAGGGTTATTGCTGAATTAATTCAACACATTTAATAAATTAGTTTATTTTAATAATATTTTATTGCAAGTATATAACACATGTAAAATATGAATAACACAAAACAAATGTACGTATAAATACAGTGCAAATGGGTAGGGCTACAAGTTATTACAACATTAGCAACAGCCCTTCTTCCCACAAAGTCTAATACTATATAGTATTTATAACATATATTTTACGAATAATTTTCTGAGAATAAGTACAAATAACTGATTTGCAATGGGAGTAAGAAATAGAAAAAAATCAAAACAGACAAAAACAAAGCAAACAGACACAAATATATAAATTTGGTATGAGAAGTATTGCTATATTCAGTATTGAACCTTAACTCATTGATATCCTTTATGTTATATAATCTTAGTAAATAAATTGTTTATGAATGGTGATAAACATGCATCCTTCTCAAGTTTTCCCTTTCTCTTTCTTTGTAGTATGTTGCCAGTTTAGTTATTTTCCGAAGTTATTGTTATTTCCGATAAAATTATTGTGTTGTTATATTATAGCAAATTATGTCTGTTTATTTTTATTTATTTTAATTCTTTCTTCTACTTTTATTTTTATTTGGGAAAGAAGCCATAGTTTATATAAATATGTGATGTTTTGTTGAAATGAATAAAAAGTTTTTTTTGACGGAATTAGTCTTGATATTGTTTTTACTGGTTCCCTAATATTTTAAAGTTCGATTTACATCGAAAATCGATCGAAATTGAGCATTGTCGACAAATATGGATTCTGGGAGACAATATCCTGTGAATTTATGGATCAGTTATGATATGAGATATTTCATCTTGGGCTAAATTAAAACAATTGTGTGTCTACTAATGTTTTTAGAGAATAACTGCCTCCAGGGAATATGGAGTTACCAAGAAATAAGAATTTTGTTTAAATAATTTTTAATGGTGTAAAAGGCGAGTGACAAAAATACAAAAATGAGAACCTAAAAATAAGATTGAATATTTCTTTACTTAAAGCAATGGAAACTGTCACCTTTTCCCTATTTTCATTGTCATTCTATATTAATGTTTATGCAATAAATTGCCCTACATTAAAAATTTCGGGGGAGCATTTAGTCGCCGGGTTGTCCGTATGTACGTACGTCCCGAATTCGTGTCCAGCCCATAACTTTGTTATTTCAAGTTGGATTTTACAACTATTTCACAGAAATGATCACCATATTGAGATGACGTGTCGCGCGCAACATTTGGGTCTCTACCTTGAATGTCAATGTCACGGCATGACCTTGAAGCAAAATCGTGTCCGGCCCATAACTTCGTTATTTGAAGTCGTATTTTACAACTGATCACCATATTGTGACGACGTGTTGCGCGCAACATTTGGGTCGCTACCTTGAAGATCAATGTCACAGTATGACCTTGCATTAAAATCGTGTCCGGCCCATAACTTCGTTATTTGAAGTCGTCTTTTACAACTATTTCACAGAAATGATCACCATATTGAGACATGTCGCGCACAACATTTGGGTCGCTACCTTGAAGGTCAAGGTCACAGCATGACCTTGAAGCAAAACTGTGTCCGCCCATAATTTTTATAACTTCGTTATTTGAAGTCGGATTTTACAACAATTTCACAGAAATGATCAACATATTGAGAGACGACGTGTCGCGCGCAAGTCGGTAAATAGATCTAATTGAGTAGAATATTGAAGTGCAAAGAACAGTAACTCTGCATTGCCTAAGTTTGGAATTATCACACTTTGAACTTTGACTGGGAACTACAAAAAAAAACAAAAAAACTTTAATGTGTCCAAAACCTGGTTGGGGAGCATCACCCGGTTTAACCGGCTCTTGTTTCAATCAGTTTCAAACGGTGTGATAATTACAGGTAATATGTATACATCTCATTTGTGTATTTTTCTTTTCATTTCACTTCTCCGTTATTTATGATTTTAGGCGCGTTGGGTGTTTTAATCACAAAATAAGAAATTTAAAGAAGTAATTATTTAAATGACAATTCAAAATATCATAACTTTGAGGACTTGTCTGCTTATGTTCTAATCTAGTATACCAAGGTGACATGCCGCCGGGAATCCTGGCCATCTGTTTACTTTAGCTTACCGGTCTATACAATTTTCAAAACATCCCCATTTTTATACGCCCGAAAAAAATATTCCGGCGTATATTGTTATGCACATGGTCATCCGTCTGTCTGTTTGCAGTTTTCTTGTCCTATCTATTGAACCGGTGGAAGGAGGCAGAAATATTAACCATTATGAGACAATGTGCAAAGTGCAGGTTTGACCTTTCTCAGGTCAAGGTCACAGTCATTTTTCAAATCTGTATCCTTTGAACCAATAGAAACACATTAAAAAATTTTGACAGAAATTTATGTCTCACATAAGACTTATAAGAGCTAATTTCCAAAACTGCGACGCAACTTAGACTAAATTATACTTATTAATGTTAGCCAACTTTTTTGACCTAGCACTACACAGTTAAACATGGTGCGATTATCTCGTTATTCCTGCACTCCTGTGGAGGGTGTTTGATTTTGGGTACAAATGCATGTTACAATTTGTTTTCAACGGTATAATTAATTTTACTTCCAGAATGAGGTCATTTCCGTAAATTCAAGAAACCTTCTAGCGATTACTTTACATTTACCATGGCGACAAAGGATGTGGATAATGAAGGCATTTCAGAGGAAGACCGACCGTACACACCGGAAGACTTGCTTAAAATAATAAATGCGCCGTCTGGCGGACTTTCCATGTTGCCGTCTGATGCATACAATGAAGTATATCCGAATATTCTGCTTGGAGAAGAGTAAGTAATTATGTATAAGCTAAGCAATTTTAAAAAGTGGATTAATATTTTAATTGATATTTTAAGTTACATTACTAGGGAACTAATAATGTAGATTATATATTAATTCCGTAGGTGCTACGAATGATTACATGACAAATTAAATGTATCATTTCAGATCTATAGCAAAACAGCGTGTACAACTCCAAAAACTTGGTGTTACTCACGTGCTAAATACAGCAGAAGGTAAAGATGATGGCTATCACGTGCACACGAATCACGTGATGTATCGTAAGGTTAATATAGAATATTTGGGAATACCAGCCACAGATATGATGAGTTTTAATTTGTCGAAATACTTCAATAAATGTGCAGATTACATTGAGGATGCATTATCAAATGGAGGTAAAAATAATTGTCGTCTGCATCATAGTTCGTATAAATTCGGTAAACTCCGTAATAATATAATAAGTCTTCTTACTTATATGAACATTTATTTTATAAATTTTTAGATTACTTGATTGTAATTAAGCTTGATTGTAAAACATTTCTCGCAACTTCAAGTCCGCTTCCTGTAACTAACACAACCTAGTGTAATAAGTGTGAAAATCCGAGATTCATTCGAAACTTCCTGGGTTGAGAGGCAGGCACCTTATAAACTAGACCACCGCTCTCCTCAATATCTTAGCTTTGTTCATAATGATACTTTCCACAATGTTGGATTTAAGATATACCCAAAGTCTCCTCCGTACATTTTAAGCGCGGACGCGTGCACCTGGGATAATCCACCAACCCTAATTGTAAGCTTCATTTACCTTCTGAAATTCATTAAACTGAAAAGTATCAGTATAAACATATGACATAGAGTGGAGCAGTGGCATAAGGTTTAAGATGTCTGCTGCTCACCCAGGGTTTATAAGGGTTAGAACCTCATTCGGGTCACGATGATGTTTCATCATATGACTCTAGCATTGATACCTTCACATCAAAACATTATTCGGGGTTCTTACCATTAGAGGTGAAGAAACAGACGACTTGAGGGCGACCATCTTTGTTTTCAGTATTATCCTAGTGTATGTAATAAGAAAGCACGAATTTCTCAAATAATATAATTTTATTCCATTGAAGTTTTTTTTAAAATGTATTGTATCCTTTATTTTAGGTAAGATACTTGTAAACTGTAAAGTAGGAGCCAGTCGATCTGCCACCATTGTGTTAGCGTTCCTAATGTTGAAACGCCACCTACCTGTCCAAGATGCAGTGCGTCTTGTAAGAAAAGAGCGGGAAATTTGTCCGAATGACGGCTTCTTGCAACAGCTTTGTGATTTAAACGAAATTTTAAAGAAAAAAGGACATTTTAAATGCACTGAAGAGATACGATAATTGGATATACTGAATTATAACTTTGCTGGACGCTGAATTTATGTTTTTAAACTCTGGTACCTTTCAGATCCCATAATACCTGTGATACTGGAAAACAAAGTACTTTCGTGTATTTTTTATATTTACAGTGAAATTGATTTTTCATTTGAAGACAGATCAAGCTTCCGTCCATCCCTGTTGTAAATTTATCATGTTGTATATAACACTTTTTATGCCCCCTTCGAAGAAGATGGGTATATTGTCTGTTTGTCGTCGGTAGACCACATGGTTTCCGCTGATTATCTTAAAAAATATCTATCACAAAGTGTTCATATTACACATACTGATTGATCATAACTGGTAGATGACCACTATTGATTTTAGGGTCACTAGGTCAAAGGTCAAGGTCACAGGATCCTTAAATATCAGAATGATTTCCGCATATTATCTTGAAAACGATCCATCACAAAGTATTTATATTTCACACACTGATTGGTTATAACTAGTAGATGACCTCTATTGATTTTGGGATCACTAGGTCAACGGTCAAGGTCACAGGGACCTTAAATGTTAGAATGGTGTCTGCTCATCTTGAAAGCTATTTATAACAAAGTCTTCGTATTTCACATATTGATTGGTCATAACTAGTTAATGACCCCTATTGATTTTGAGGTCACTAGGTCAAAAGTCAAGGTAACAAGGGCCTTGAATGGTAGTATGGTTTGCGCTCATTATCTTGAAAGCTTTATATCACAAAGTCTTCATATTTCACATAATGATTGATCGTAACTAGAAGATGTTCACTTTTGATTTTGGGGTCAATAGTTCAATATCAAGGTCACATTTGTGCAATTTTCTCTTGTCTTTCATTTCATCGTTCAGACGCTTGCTGTTTAATCTTTCATCAATCAGAATTATTATTTCGTTTGTAAACTTAGTATGAAGACTGTTTCGAATAACTTTGTTCAATCTCTGTTCGTCTAAATGTATGGAGGCTTATTTTTTCCACCTAACATCTGCAACCCGTGGTACTGAAATCTGGATTAACTGAATATACTATGGCGCAAGAGACGTTCACAAGCCGAAAAATAATATCTTAACTTTTTTCTTTTATCGGAGAGAAATTACTCTAAATAGCAAATGTAATAAAACAACTGTTTTGTTGTTGTTGTTTTTTGTGTTTTTTTTATCTATTTCTAATCGGGATAAAATGCCCTCCGACAAGACATTTAATTGTTGAGATAATACCTATATTTATCGCACATATTAAAGTAATTGTCATGGGAGAGATAACCTCCTCATACGTCTCGTTATCTGTCACAAGTATATGATAAGTCCAAATAACTCATCCCGGCGTATCAGTCCATTTTGTAAACAGTGCATTAACCTATATAAATATGGTCATCGTCACACGGTATACTCGTACCACAACATTCGTACCAAGATATTTTAGATACCAAGAGATTCCGCTCTATGATTTATTTTAAAAAAAAACGAAGAAAAAAACAACTTATTTTCATTAATTTAATTTTTTCTATCGTATGTGTTTTGGTTTTTTTTTTAATTTCAGTGAAAAAATTAAGATCAAAATTGTAGATAAGTGTATATACCTATATTTGCAAAAAAGAAAATGAAGAATGGGAATTGCTCAATTTCTTTGATTATTATTAAAATTCAAGTTTAATTTTTTTCTATATATTTCATTTCAAAATAGCACCTCTTCATTACGAAAGCACCTGTAAGCAACGGGTACATACATGTGTGTATCTACAGTTTGACTCACGTAATCAGAAAGTAAACACAAAGGGGGCGTAACAATGTTCCTATCTGACCTATTTGATAGTGAAACCAGTGTCTAAATTATTTTGAATATTGGGAGTATTTAAGATACAGACGTAGAAAAAATATTAGATTTGACGTAACAGCATAAAGGTAAATGAATATAATATTATTATTATCATTTATTGACATATTTAGAATATATTTTCAATTTGTGAACTTTAATATGTAAATTAACTTTGGCTACATTGTTATTTTTATTATGGCTTGTCGTTGAACTCGAAAATGTTCTCAATTAATTTAAGTTAATCGTCTACACAAGAAAGTAAGCGTTTGATTATTTTACATTTCTTTATTAGCATCGAAAAGATTACTGAAAAATACACTCATTTAATGTTGGTGTGTTTTGTTTTAAATTTTCATGTATCACTGATTGATAAATCATACTATTTTAAACAAGTAACAACATCCCTTTATAAATTTTTGATAATTTCACTGTGTGGCGATATTTGTATATTTGTAAATGTCTACTTTTTGCTTTCACGAATTAATTAGTTCAGTATACATGTATTTGTTAAATGAACTACACTCATAGTTTTATAAACTTCGTATAAGTCAAATAAACTCGCGTGACACTGTGAGCATTGAAACAAAAATGTCTAGTTACGGTCAGTGTCGAATTCCACCAATGTGACGCAGATATGAAGCCACTTTTCGGTCAATATGACATGCCTTGGAATGAGACCATGGTACTTCGGCTGACTGTAAATTAGTAGTCCTGTATCATTTTCAGAACCAAAGAACACAACATTTGGCGAATAATTACCAAAATAATTTAATGAAACAAATACGCTGCAAGATTTTTTTTCAATTTTGAAGTCGCAAATATTTTGTCAGAGCCTTATTTGATTTATTTAAAAAACATTTGTTATACATGTATTTTATTTTTCTTCGTATTTACGTTGTTAATACAAAATAATCAAAACCATTGATCAAATCAATTGAACGTACTCAGTGTTCAATGTTAGCGAGATAACGACAGGAAATTCTTGTTTAAAAAGCCATTTTCTGAAGCATTTATTGAATGTTGGGAAGTCCTTATCAAAATTTTATTCATACGCAAACTTTCTCAACTATATACATGAAAACACATGTTGTTTTTTACTAGATAAGGGAAGTACATGTCTGATGCAAAAAATCAGTGTTTTATATACTAATACAGCACTTGACAATGTTTGAATAATATTGTGCTCCCGTTACTGAAGGTTACATGCAATGCTATAAATTATTGGTTATATCTTAACAACATTGATATCTTGCAATGTGATATGGATTGTATAAGTGCGCGATAAAACTATTAAACATGCATGTCATGCGGTTACTATACATCGCATATCCAAAAACATGTATATCTTGCAAAGTTATATTATCTTATATCCCCCTTTAAAGCTGCATGCCTCCATAGATTAACCAAAAACCTTTCCAGATAATCAAACTTGAAAACAAAAAATGTAAATTGTTGCAAAGTCATATAATACATGTTATATGCGATTAATGACTGATTTTGCAGTGTTTATCCCCATATTTCTACCGAGATACTAACGTATAGTAAGAGCTATTTTTGCATATTTTGACCTCCTTTTGCAATGTGTAAAATACTTTCTTAGTTCACTTCCCAATATGTTACTTTAAAATACATTTTCAAAACTTCCATCTTAATTAGCATAGATCTGGAGGCATGCTGCTTTAGTTTATATACATTTATTTTAGCTATAGGCTTATTGAAACACTCTCGAATCCGTTCCTGGAACCAACCAGTACTAAGAATGAATGTTAAGTTTCTTGCTCAAAGAAACAACGGCTTGCCCCTGACAGGGTTTGAACCCAAATGCGGTCAGCAATCCTTAGAGTTTTAACTAGCCACTTGGCCACGCCGCTACTGCTTTTATTATTATTCGTTCCCTCATTTAATTGTTTTGCTTAATCAACTCTGAGGAAGAATAGCTATTTATAATTATATTACTTTATAAATTACTCATTCATGTAAGTGGGGAACAGTTTATTTTTAGTCTTTATTTAAAGTCTTTATTTTTCCTAATATACTTTGCTTCGAAAAAAAGTTCTTATTTGCTCTTTATACATTGCTTGAAACCATTATACAAGGGGAACATATTTCAGAACTTCTTACTTGTTTTACTCAATGTGTGACCTATAGAGTAAAACATGTAGCTAATGTTTCATCCACGTTTTGCCCGATTCAATACTTGTAGTAAATGTTATAATTATGCAGTTGATACCTTAAGTATATACATTTCTTTTGTTCCTAATTTTCAATACAAATTCGTGATTTTGTTCAAAAAGACATTTTCTATGGAGTTTAAATTCGTGGAATTTAATATTCAAAGGGCTCATATTTAGCAATTTGCACAATATTAGACCTAGATCTGTCAAAAGACCCTCATCTTAGTAGATACCATCCTCAAGTTATAGCATTAACAATATGTATTACATGTTTTATTGTTGAGTTTCGTTTCTTTTGTTTGTAGTTTTAAGAATGGGAAGCTGTGGCGAATGCTTAGCAAAGTTTGGGCTTATTACATTCAACATCATATTTCTGGTGAGTATACGTACGCGTATATTATTAGTTATAAAGATTTTTTGACAGGTTATATGGCCCTATATAAACGGTGTTTTGCAAATATAACCCGAGCTGCGATTATCCAATGTAAAGAGATGTTATAAACGTGCAGTATTATATATAATCAGATACATTGTACGTACACATGTATTAAAATCGTCCGACCAATTATCTTATCCATATGATAACACCATAAGATTATACATGTATAATATTATTGTATAAAAAATTGATAATTGATAAAATCCTAGGAAACAAAGTAAGTTTCTCGGTCCAAGTTTTAACCATTACTAGTTGGCCATTAATTAAATGATATTTGTTACATGCAGAAATGAGAAAAAATAACTAAACAGGAATCAATTTTTATTGTTATTATTATTTTATCTTTATTATTATTTATTATTATTATCATAATTATTATTATTATCATAATTATTATTATTATTCTTTTATTATCATTATTATTATCATCATTATTATTAAAAATTATCATTATTATTTTTTTCTGAATTCATTAATCACTAAGGAAAATACTAACACAATGTTTGGGTGTCGATGTTAAGTTCAAAACCAATTATTTTAAGCGATGCAGTGTACATGGTGTATTAGACTGATAAAATGATTTAAAGCTGCACGCCTCCATACGAGCCAAAATATTTCAAGAGAATCGAACTTGAAAATCAAAGAAAAATGTACTATGATTGCATGAATATAAAAAAGATTCAATGTTCAAGTAATAATTTGCATGCGATATGCGATCAATGACTGATTTTGCGATATTTTTCACCATATTTCTACTGCGTGACAAACGCAGTAAGGACTATTTTGCATAATCTGACATCTTTCTTTCTTTCTTTTCTTTCTTACTTAACTAAATTAGGCATGTTAAAAAATGAGACCTATTTTCTTGGCCCTTCTGTTTATGAAAAGCTGTAAATTAATGGAATTTAGAGATAAACTGAAACTAATTAAGGTTCAAGTACTTGTATAAAACTTGCCTTAATTCTTAACAAAATGTACGTGACATTGGAACGCGAAATCAAAGTACGTTTTATCATAAACTAGACATTGATAACATTTGATCGATATGCAAATAACGTTGTCTAAAAAACGATATTTACAACTAGGTTATTTTCGATTGAATCGATTCAAAATATTTTGTCTGTGACATTTGTGTAAAAATATGTACTAGTATGGAACGCCGTGACTGTCTTATGTAATCAATGTTTTTGTTATCTTGTGAAACGATGATATTATTTTGTCGTTTGAGCATGTTAACATGTGCAATTTACATCATGTCTTGTCAAAGAAACATGCTCACTTGTACAAACAGCATGTTAACTTGTCAAATTGTTATGATGACATGTGCAGACAACATGTTAACTTGTCAAAGTATCGTGATGACTTGTGCAAACAACATGTTAACTTGCCAAAGTATAATGATGACTTGTGCAAATGTCATAGTAACTTGTCAAAATGTAATGATGACTTGTGCAAACGACATGTTAACTTTTCGAATTATTGTGATGACATCTGCATACAGCATGTTAACTTGTCAAAGTTTCAACAGCATGTTAACTTGTCAAAGTATCATGATGACTTGTGTTGTGCAAACGCCATGTTAACTTGTCAAAGTATAATTATGACTTGTGCAAACGACATGTTAACTTGTCGAATTATCGTGATGACATGTGCAAACAGCATGTTAACATGTCAAATTACCATGATGACTAGTGAAGACAACATGTGAACATGTCAAAGAATCGTGATGACTTGTGCAAAGGACATGTTATCTTGTATCATGCTGACATGTCAAAACGCACTGTTAACTTGTGCAAATGCCATGCTAACATGTCAAAATTCCATGATGACATGTGTAAACAGCATGTTAACTTGTCGAATTATCGTTATGACATGTGCATACAGCATGTTAACTTGTCCAAGTATCATGATGACTTGTGCAAACAACATGTTAACTTGTCCAAGTATAATGATGACTTGTGCAAATGCCATGCTAACTTGTCAAAATTTCATTATGACATGTGCAAACAGTATGTTAACTTGTCAAATCATCGTGATAATATGTGCAAACAACTTGCTAACTTGTCCAAGTAGCATGGTGACTTGTGAAAGCGACATGTTAAATGTCAAAATTTCATGATGACATGTGCAAACAGCATGTTAACTTGTCAAGGTATCGTGATAACTTGTGCAAACTCCATTCTAACTTGTCAATATATCATGATGACTTGTGCAAATGCCATGTTAACTTGTCAAATTATCATGATGACTTGTGCAGACAACATGATAATTTGTCAAAGAATCGTGATGACTTGTGCAAAACACATGTTAACTTATATAAAGGTATTATGAGCATGCCATCACGATAATTCGACAAGTTAACATACTGTTTGCACATGTCATCATGAAATTTTGACAAGTTAACATGTCGCTTTCACAAGTCATCATGATATTTTGACTAGTTAACATGTCGTTTGCACAAGTCATCATGATACTTTGACAAGTTAACATGTTGTCTGCACATGTCATAATGATTATTTGACAAGTTTACATGCTGTTTGAACAAGTCATCATTGTCTTTAGACAAGATATGATGTAAATTGCACATGTTAATATGCTTAAATGACAAAATAATATCATCATTTCACAAGATAGCAAAAACATTGATAGCATAAGACAGTCACGGCGTTCCATATACATGTAAGAACGTTAATAATCGGGTGTTCGCAGGTATTAAGGAAAAACGACTGAAGAGGTAGTTGAACGAACACCTTATCACCGTGCGATAAAACACTTGAAAATATATTATTTTTTCTGAATTCATTAATCACTAAGGAAAATACTAACACAATGTTTGGGAGTCGATGTTAAGTTCAAAACCAATTATTTTAAGCGATGCAGTGAAAATGGTGTATTAGACTGATAAAATGATCTAAAGCTGCACGCCTCCATACGAGCCAAAATAATTTAAGAGGATCAAACTTGAAAATCAAAGAAAAATGTACTATGATTTTGTGAAATATAAAAAGGTTCAAGATTCAAGTAATAATTTGACTGTTATATGCGATCATTGACTGATTTTGCAATACTTTTCACCATATTTCTACTGCGCGATAATTGCAGTAAGGACTATTTTGCATATTCTGACATCTTTCTTTCTTACTTAAACCCGTTTTAGGCATGTTAAAAAAATGAGACCTATTTTCTTGGCCCTTCTGTTTATGAAAAGCTGTAAATTAATGGAATTTAGAGATAAATGAAACTAATTAAGGTTCAAGTACTTGTATAAAACTTGCCTTAATTCTTAACAAAATGTACGTGACATTGGAACGCGAAATCAAAGTATGTTTTATCATAAACTAGACATTGATAACATTTGATCGATATGCAAATAACGTTGTCTAAAAAACGATATTTACAACTGCGTTATTTTCGATTGAATCGATTCAAAATATTTTGTCTGTGACAAAAATGTGTGTAAAATATATACATGTACGAATTTTAACAATCGGGTGTTCGAGGTAGTTGAACGAACACCTTATCACCGTGCGATAAAACACTTGAAACTATATTGGTTAGGGAAAATGTTATAGAGATTAGAACTCGTGAAACTTCGGTATACTTCGTCTCTTTCTGTATCTCTGTGGAGATAAAAAAGATCTTTATGACCTCTGCAGCAACATGGCAGCAAACCGTCACTTATCAAAATGATATACAGAAAGTTACAAAATTAACCGAATCGATACGAGCTATTGGTGGTAAGAATGTATACATTTTGCCGTTCACAATTGTAAATGCCCGTGACCTTATATATTGAGGTAAAAAGTGATGACAAATCCCTCAAGTGTCATCCCGTAATCTAATTTAATTCGCATTATCTTTAAACAGAGTTAGCTCATGTTATGTAAACTTACAAACTTATCTTGTGAGATTTGAAGATGTTTCACGAACAATATAAAACGCTAACCGTATTTGAAATAACGTATTCCGTATACCTCAAACTATTTCTTCTGCATACTTACATCATCATAATATGACAGGTGGTTAATCTCGTGCACTTTTTTGTGCTAACAAGTGTGAATCTAGGGGCCAGAGGGGCTGTCAAAATTTCGACAAGAGGTATTGTATATGTTCAAGAGGGATCTGGGATCTTGATGTATTCAATTTATGACACAATGGCTAAATCTCAAGGGGACAGGGTCATTTCTCTCTACCCCACGCCCTTTCCCAATTGTAATGAGGTAAGTTCGAGAAAAAATTAATTTAAACAATTGCTTCATTACGTTTGTCAAAATATTTCAGTCGATTAGAAGCTTATTTTTCACTTTGAATTTAACTTCGGTAATGTCTAGATCGTCATTTTATTTTTAAGGGATCTAAAATACATAATAATCAATCATAGAAAATGTACAACAGTTACTATAAATACAGTTTAGGACCGCCTTACGACCAATTATTATCACTTTAGCATATGGTGACATCATGATCCCAAAAGATGACCATTGACTCCAATAAGTTTGCATATCTTAATATATTTTTAAAAATAATGTTAGTAAAACATATTTTTAAACATACCTCATAGAACGCTCTCTCCAAAATTTACTTTCTAAATCTTGCAGCTCTCAGGAATTGCAGTGTTGGGTGTAGGAATATGGGTCAGGGTCGACAAAAATGTGGTTAACATGCAGAACTTGGTCGAGTTCGACTCCGATGACAAATCCCTCTCGACAGCTGCTTATGTTCTAATTGGGTTCGGCAGTTTTGTTCTGGTTGTCAGTGCCTTCGGTTTCCTGGCTGCATGCTGTGCCAGCAAGACCAAGTTCTTTATCGTTGGTGTAAGTTGATGAACAATTTTCTTAACGCCTTATATAGCAATAGCAATGGGTCTGTATCAAATTCAATAACTGCATAAATGTATAATTTAAGTAAGACTCTTCACATAAAAAAACAACAAAATATTGTAGTTGACACTTTTTGTACACCGTAATCAAGAGTCATTTTTTACTTTCCCGATATAAGCGCCGTATTATTTGTTTTGATTGTTCCTTTTTTATTATCCTTATTTTAGGTGTTCTTCCTCTGATTTTTTGTAATTGTAATACCCGGTATGCGTTTTTTATTATCATGTTTTTTGCTGTTAGCTTATTATCCCCCTTCTAGAGGGGTGCATTTAGATTTGCATTTGTCCATCCGTCCGTGCATGCGTTGTGCATGTAGGATTTTGATTGTTTTTATTTTGTTTTTAAGCATATTTTAGGATGTATTCTTAATATTGGAAAAAATCAAGATTGGATGTCAATTTAATGCCCTTCACTTAAGCGTAGGGGGAGTCATGAAGAATTTCCTTTCTGTCTGTCCAGTAGACTGACTCAACAGTGGAATGTAGTCCTACGAAAACATTTCTAGTGTTTTTTTCCTTAGGATTTTTCTATAAACTGCCGTTCAAATATGTTAGTATTATTATGCTGTACATGTTCAATATATGTTCTATATAACATAATTATTACTTACATTTTCAGTACATCGTGTTTCTTGTTATAATATTTATTGGAGAGTTCGCTGGAGGCATTTCGGCAGCAGTATTTAAAGGAAAGGTAATACACCTTGATTTCCATGTAATATATAATTATTGTTTCCGGTTGGTTGGACATAGATTGCCCTTTGTGTACTATTTAAGACTGGTGAGATTCGAATCCATGGCATCCTTAGCGATGATGTTTTTTTATCTTCGTAAGGACGGAAAATGTCGATGTATGCCGCACTTTTACGAACTCGTGACGGATATTAATATGCCATTTTAAAATGAGTGTATGTATATGTTATTTTGAATTCTTATTAACACTTTTATTCCTTAGTTACTGTCGGGTTAACTATGGTAATACATGTACATACTTCTGCGCTAAAAAATAGATCTAAATGATTTCTGTGCAGTTAACGGTTTTATTAAGTCATTATAACATTACTTCTGACCTTTTTCAATCAGTTAACAATTATTCCGCGTAAAAAATAGTTCTCAAAAGGTGCAATAATTGTTTTTGTCATGAATTATTGTCTATCATGTCATTGTCAAACTGCGTATTTGTTTTTTTTAGATTGATCATAATTTACCGTCTGTGCTAACCAAATCGTTCCAGAAATACAAGCCTGGTAATGGTCTTCTACCAAAGGCGTGGGACTACATGCAAACATGGGTATAAATATCACATTCAACAGTTTTTTATTCTAATATCTACCATGATTTTGATTTCCTTGTTATTTTTTATTTATTGTCTCTGTCAACATCCAGGAAATCGGATGTACTTGTAATAAACATATAATATTTATAGATGAAAACGTTAAGCAATACTATTAGAAAAATAAACTTTTTGGCAATGCCAATATTGACATTGTCATCAGTGTTTAAAAGTTTTTAACTTACCATGTATTCTTGCTTACATCTTTGGACTCAACTGTATATAAACCAAAGAGTCAAAGTCATGGCTGTTTTGGAGGCAATGGGATTTCAACAACGATGCATGACTTGTTGGGTTTTTGTTATCGTTGTGTGACAATGCAACATGTCATGCTTATGATTATTTATTAACGTATCGTATTTCTATGAAGCTACTGTCATAAAAATCATGTGGTGTTTGTTTTTTTACTTCAGCTGAGTTGCTGTGGCTCACAAGGACCAAAGGATTATAAAAGTATCAACTTTACCTCGGTAATGTATAAATTTCAAAATGCAAACAAGAAAGGTTTAAATAAGTTTAGAGTGGGGGAAACTTTATAAATGTATACTCAGGAAAACTGAAATGCATGTATTGGCAAGTTTGGTTAAAAAAGTATTGACTGTACGATGAAAAAAGTGTTTCACGTTGGTTAGTAGCTGACTGCAGTGTACCAACCTAACAGCCGATTGAGTAATCTTACAGTTACCGCTGGGTAGCAAGGTCATCTTTGCTTAACCCAAATGAGTGGGTTTCTGTAAATGTAAGTAATAGTTATAGTACATGAAACGAGTTAGTTACGAGGATATAACACTGGCTGGGGCGACATCAAGGGATGTTTCTGCTAAAAAATGGCGAGGCGAAACTAACGAGTTTCATATACTATAACTGTGTGATCACAATGGCATAATGTTTTCTATTTTTGTAATAGAAATAAATAAATGAATAAATAGATAAATCGTTGGCTACATTACAGTTATTTATGATAAGGCACGTTTTTCAAGTTGTTTTCCACGGGGGAGGAAGTGTTACACGAAGGATGGAGTTCTTATGATAACTTGTTTTGAGTTCTTATGATAACTGTCACGGAGTTCCTGGAAAACGTTACGGATTTCTGTGGAAAACTTTTCTATATACTTGGAGAACTCGCGTAAATAATGGTTATTTTTAACTTTAAATTGGGAGTTTGAGGTGCTAAATTAAACTTTGATAATTAAGCTTGCCCTACATATTGAATTATGTTTCAGAAAAAATCTTTTAGTCCATATTTCGTCGCCGTTTAAAAAAAAATCTGGTAGTTTTGAGAAAAATTTCCAAATTATTTGCTAATTCGTACATATTGACCTTTTCATTTGTGATCTTCTTCGTTGCTATACATAATCACCTAATTATAGTGGAGAGTTGCAAACATAAAGCCCGAGCTAACAAATGTATACCCGATTTTTCAAATGTTACGGAGTTCTTGTGATAACTCAAAATATGTCCTGGAGTTCTTATGATAACTTTTGTTACTGCCAGTGTGTTTCTTGTGCTTAATTACGGCACATTTAAGCGTATTTTATTAGTCAATAAGTGTATAAATCATTATGAAGCATAGTACGCTTATCATTTGCACAAAAATTTGGTTATATAACGTTGGTTTTGATCGTGTTTTAGTTCCTAATTAAATTTGTGCGAAATCATATTGACATTATAAAACCCAACGAATGCACTAAATGTTTCTGTGTATACTGTTCGTCAACAAAAGTTTTATGTCATAAGTTTCCGCAAATGCAACATTGAGGTCATGTGGCAAAATTAAAACACGATCATTCAATATATCTGGAGAAGACATGAAACTGCTTTGGTGTACAGTCTATATAGGATAAACAGGTGCTAAGCTATCTTCAGGAACGACCGCCTCCGTGGTCGAGGGATTTGAATCGAATCCAGTTACCTCTCTGACGTGGGTTCAATCCCCGGGAGATGCTTTGGTAGTTTAGCACGGAGGAAGGTAGTCTAGTACTGGAGTAACTCTCCAGGAACGATGGTTAGGAAACTACCCGCCCATAGGACTGAAATACTGTTGGGAAAAGGCGTAAAATGAAACAAACAAACAAAAATCTTCAGGGAAACCTGAATCAGCGGCCACCTGTATTCAGCAGTAACATGGCTTAAACCGCCAAGGAAAATTGTTTAAAACTTACACTTTTTTCTCAGTTACATGTGTTAAGCAACTGCCTTTCTAAAGCAGACAATAAGTAGTTGGGCTCAAAAGCGGCTAAGTAAATTGTATCATAATATACCATGTATCGTATGTAACCGGGATACCCTTCACACCCATGCACCGAAATGTATGATCTTTTTATGCATAAAAAATCACCCGATTACTACCGATCTCTTCGACAGATTTGCACGTGCCCTACGGGTTCGAGCGAAAGAAGTTCGACAATATATTTTTGTAAATCAGTTACAGCAAAAGTTGTTGCAAAATTTTCACAACTAGGACTCCAACTTTGATAAGAAAAATGTATGCAGTAATTTTCCGAAATATGGAGATTGTTGTACGTCACGTGATGCTACATTGGATTTAATAGAGAAAGGAACAGGGTCGATAAACGGCATGAACCTTACGGTGACTCACATATCTTATTGAAGACTTACTTTCTATCGTCATATCATTGTCATAGAACTTTATACGTTTCTATGACAAAAAACTGATACCTTTTAGAAATTGTTCTAAATGTTCTCTAAAACTGCCAGGAATATTGATACTAGTATATGACGAAATCATGCTTGAGTATTAAATTCAAAGCGTCTTTTTATCCTGTAAGTAAATGCTCTACATCAAGTATGTTTACAGTCATTCCAATAAAATAAAAAACACACACACAAAATGACCAAAACAAACACAAAAAAACACAAGAAACGGAGGTAAGAAAAATATCTATTGAACTGAAAAACACGATCAAAACCAACGTTATATAACCAAATTTTTGTGCAAATGATAAGCGTACTATGCTTCATAATGATTTACACACTTATTGACTAATAAAATACGCTTAAACGTGCCGTGATTAAGCACAAAAACATACTGGCAGTAACAAAAGTTATCATAAGAACTCCAGGACATATTTTGAGTTATCGCAAGAACTCCGTAACATTTGAAAAATCGGGTATAAATTTATTAGCCTTGGCTTTATGTTTGCAACTCTCCATAATAATTAGGTGATTATGTATAGCAACGGTGAAGATCACAAATGAAAAGGTCAATATGTACGAATTAGCAAGTAATTTGGTAATTTTTCTCAAAACTACCAGATTTTTTTTAAAAAGGCGACGAAATATGGACTAAAATATTTTTTCTGAAACAAAATACAATATGTAGGGCAAGCTTAATTATCAAAGTTAAATTTAGCACCTCAAACTCCCCATTTAAAGTTAAAAATAACCATCATTTACGCGAGTTCTCCAAGTATATAGAAAAGTTTTCCACAGAAATCCGTAACGTTTTCCTGGAACTCCGTGACAGTTATCATAAGAACTCCAAACAAGTTATCATAAGAACTCCATCCTTCGTGTAACACTTCCTCCCCGTGGTTTTCGCTGCCTCAAAAAAAAAAAAAAAAAAAAAAAAAAAAAAAGATATACAAAAGACATCCAATGTTAGAGAAGGATTGTAAAATGTTACCAATATTGATTAAAGATTAAAGGGGTTTTTTTTCAGTGCATTAATTATCTTTGTTTATATTTTTCCTTATAATTATTTCCTTATTTAATTTTATTGAAAAGTTAAAACGGCAGGGTCGGGGGACGAAAAAACGCTGAAAAGCTGGGGCACGGGGCGAAGTTTAATATAAAAAAACTTCGCCTCGCAGTAGCGCGGGACGAGATTTAAGAAGTAAAACCGTGGGGGCGAGGAGCTAAAAACGCTAATTAGCGGGTTTTCGCTCCGCGCCCCCGCCATTTTAACTTGTTAATTCTCAGCTTTTCGCTTGACGGGGTCGCAGGAATAAGCGGGGGTGAGGGGCGAAGTTTAAAAATAAAACTTCGCCGCGCGCCCCCGCTAATTAACGTGTTTTCGTCCGCGACCCTGCCGTTTTATTTCTTAAATCACGCTCGGCGCCTTCGCGGGGCGAAGTGTTTTTATTAAATTTTGCCCCGCGCCCTCGCTAATGAGCGTATTTTCGCTTCGCGCCCTCGCCATTTTAATTTGTTAATTTTCGACTTTTCGCTTGACGGGGTCGCGGGGCAAAAACACGAATGGCACAAATCAGCTACCATACATATGTGAAACCTCGTAACTGGACGCTCTTCTGCGTCAACTGGTGCTTTAATGTTTTCTCATTAATTAGCAACCAAAAAGTCAAGCGAAACACCCTTGAAGACAAAATTTAATTACAAATATTTGAATGATAGAGAAACGGGTACATAAGATTTTTCTATTTTGTATAACCAAATATATACCGAGAAATATCTATTTATAGATTCCGTATAAACATTATGTTCCTGACACGTGCTGTTTTCTGAGCAATAATGATCCGGAGAATCCGAAAGCAGTTGACGAAAAAAAATGTCAAGATGACGCAGTGAAAATTCAAACGAACAACAACAACACAACGTCTTCATATGTACACACATTGGTATGGTATATTTTATTACAGTTTGTAATTCATTTCTTGGTAGTGACTACCAGCTGATCAAATATAATTACACATGCATGCGGATTGACTACTTACACTAATGATTACAATTAACTTGACATTCTATATACGTAATGAAGTTTTTATATAGTTTGATATGTTCGTGAATATCTTAACTCAGTATTATAATATCCGAACATAAGCATATTAAATCTACCTTTGTTCGTAATTATCTTTACTCAATATTATAATATCCGAACATAAACATATTAAATCTACCTAATTTCGTGAATATCTTAACTCAATATTATAATATCCGAACATAAGCATATTAAATCTACCTTTGTTCGTAATTATCTTTACTCAATATTATAATATCCGAACATAAACATATTAAATCTACCTAATTTCGTGAATATCTTAACTCAATATTATAATATCCGAACATAAGCATATTAAATCTACCTTTGTTCGTGAATATCTTTACTCAATATTATAATATCTGAACATATGTATACAGTCAACTATCGTTATCTCGACATCGCTTTTCTCGATATTTCGTTATCTCGATTAAATTGTGAAAGTCCCGATTTTCTTCCTTCTTTATCTATATGGAAATGTTTGTTTATCTCGATATTTTTATTTCGATATTTTCTGTATCTCAGTTTCTGTCTTATTCAAACCCTAATATGTTTATCTCGACATTTCGTTATCTCGATATTGTTGACGGTCCCGATGACTTCGAGATAACGAGAGTCGACTGTACATGTATTAGATCTACCTATGTTCGTGAATTCGTGAATATCTTGCAAATCCCAACACTGACCGTTTCAATTATTATTTTATTATTATACTGGTCACTTGAGCTGCTCAACATCTCTCTGTTAATAAGGTTTTGAACTTAAAATATAAAAATGTACTAATTTGTTTGTATCCATGGCCGTTTTTCTTTTATTTGCTTTTTTACAATATTATTTATTGTATAAGAAAATTATGTGATTTGTTTACAGGGATGCTACGACAGTTTAAATGAAAAGATTAAATCTCACGTCGCAGTTATAATCGGCGTGGCTGTTGGAATTGCCATGTTTCAGGTAAAACTGTATTCTTCTTTACATGAAGTATGTGTTTGAGTCCCACCAACGCTTTAAGGTCACATAGCAGCTCAAGCTTTATTGGTTGGCGGTTTACACCATAACAATAACTTCCGTAATATTGTCCACTGTCGAGTGGCCACGCCCGATAGCTTCGAATCATTTGCCACTCACCCCCATGGAAATGAGCCCTACATTCACTGTCAATGAGTTCATATGATTTAGATATTTAGATAGTTTTAGAAAGGTAGGTGATTCTACTCAGATGACTGAAATAATGCACGGATGGCCGCCTAATATTTTCAACACCGCTTGCACCAGATATTCCCCAATGAAATCTTCACATACTACCAAAAACTGCACATTATATGAACAAATATATTGTACAAATGTATTTGAATGGCATTGTCCACAGTCAACTAGATCCCTTTCTTATTCGGATTAGTCAATTTGTCTTGAAATTAATTTGGTCCGGAATCATTTTGGATCTGCACATTCTCCGAAATGGTCACCTCCGCCATCTTTTCTTCCAATTGTTGTTTTATGATTATTTTGTATTAAAATCGTGCATTTACTTATGTTCACAACACATTTATACTAATATATCTTAAATAGTTTTTACAAAAAAAAAGATCAATTTTTCTTTAATAACACTGCGGTAAAAGTGAAAGTACAATTTAGGAAATTTTAGGAAATAAATGGTCTTGTTGTATTTTCAGCTGCTGGGAATAGTTATGTCGATTTGCATCTGTAAACGTGACCGGGACGATGGGAACAACGTGTACTAATGTGAAGTAAAAAGCGTATATAACATACATACTGTTTTGTGTGTTGACATAACATACATTCTGTTTTGTGTGTTTGGAAACTTAACATTCAAAGATTCTTCTTTTGGGGCGTATGGGGTTTTGGGGGTTTATTTTTAATGGAAATGGGAAAAGAAATATTGTAAATATATATTATTTTTGGATGGGTTTGGCGACGAGGAACACTTTTTTTTGTGGCGATACACAGTTATTTGTTTATCGCATTTTGTACATGTAATTTTAATTTCAAAGTTTGACGTTGAAGGCAATGTTTGATTTCATTATAAGAATACAGAAGAAAAATATTTACTTATTTCATTTTACGTTATCTTTTATTCTCCGTCATTTTGGTAATTCCGCAGAGGAAACTCTGTAATGTATGATGGCTGATTTATGCCATGTCGTGTTTTCGCTCTCGGGTGCCAGGCGAAAACACAAAAATAGGACAGCATTCGGTTACTTTGTTGTATTTTTGTGTTTTCGCCTGGCGCCCAACAGAACAAAACTACTACCTGGCTCAAATCAGCTACCATAGTTATGCGATAAAATATAAAAGAACTATACATCTTTACCTGATGATGCCGAAAATTTCTTTTGCAATATCCGAACTTAACGAAATTACCAAGTAGCTATCCCTCAAATTCCTACCAAATCATTCCTACACACAGGTCATTTTCTATTTAGATTCACGTCCAATATAAATACTGCAAGTAGAACACACACTGGAATGGAGAATTTAGGATAAATTTCAAAAGGACCAATTTCAGGACTTTTTTTGATATACGCGTTAACTAAAATAAAGGTACATTAAAAATCATGAATGCATGGCAAGTTGATATGGTGAAACATTATTTACCGCTCTGGGTTCGAATCCCGATTGGGTTATTGGATTTTCCATGTGAAGAAGGTATCCAGTTAGCTTAGCTAACGGAAATCAGGTGCCCGTTCGTGCCTGAAAAACAAGCACGGAAGGGCACCTGAGGTCTTCCTCAAACATTGATCAAAACAGCGTTGTGCAACGTTTAACCCAATCAACAAACAAACAAAACATCTTCCTCCAACATTGGCATATACTGTGTTGGTGCAACGTTTATCCCAATCAAACAAACATACAAAACATCTTCCTCCAACATTGGCCTATACTGTGTCGGTACAACGTTTAACCCAATCAAACAAACAAACAAAACATCTTCCTCCAACATTGGCTTATACTGTGTTGGTGCAATGTTTGAACCCAGTCAAACAAACAAACAAAACTTAGCGATAAATGAAAACTCACAAAACAGTTAAAGTAACTTGAGTCTTTGTCTTTGTCCATGTTGTGTTAGATATATATGATAGAATTCATAACGCAACTCACAGAGAAGATTTAGTAGCAATACTTATCATACAATATGAAGGAACTTGATACTAAGGAACACATGCATTACGGTCTTTAAAGGTCAAATGTATGTATAAGTACAAAACTCTTATAACAATTGGCAGACAGCAATGAAAGCATTGTAGGAGCACATTTGTCTCGGAGCACATTTGTCTCACGAAGTGTGACCGATGTGTTCGTAAACATACATATTTACGACAAATTGGAAATGAGACAGATGTGTTCGACACACAATAGAAAGGACACTCGAAGCACATTTGTCTCACATTTTTTCCATAAAATTCTTAAAAGGTAATGATTATGTCCATTTGTATACCGGCTACCAGCCATTGTTCTGTGTTTTCTGTATTTATAAATACCGTTTTGAGGTCACTTCCGGTTAGTCAAAAACTTCCTGTCAGCATAGGAGTAATATAATTATTAAATTAAAGAATATCCCTTTTCTGCATGTCACAATGAAAATTTCTACAAGTGCAGCATCCAGAACCTAAACACATATGCAGCAAGTCTTATCGTTATCAATTGTGATAAGTCTATTTTCAATGCTTAAAGTTTTATAGATGATTCATGGCACTAGCAATATCCTTAGCAAACACAAGGTGGTATCCACGGTGGCATAAAGGGGACATAGAATTTTCTTTTTTTATTACGTGCGCACACAATAGCTTTTCCGTGGCCACGCAATACTATTACATGCGCACGCGATAGCTGTTAAGTGCACACGCGCATATGTGATGCGCATTTGGACCTTGACCGGGATCTTCGCATGAATAGTTCGACGCCCCGTGTATGTGTCGAACCTACAGCGGTTAGGGGCAAGTGGTTTTTGGAAATCAATCGGCCACGGAGGCCCTTAAATGATCCATGGAAAAAATAAGAGGACCATTACACACGTATTTCGTTTTCATCAGAGATATATGTATAAAAAGTCGTCATTTCCCAAGAATTGCGGCTTTCAGATTCGCCATTGAAAGGCACTTACAACATACAAGAGTTCCTAAAATAATCCGGGTAATGCCATAATTATGTAATATCGGGCCACTCAGAATCGGACGAGACGCGACATTCCGATGAGACACGAAGCGAGGCACGATATTGTAACAGGAGATCTCGCACTGTCGAAGTAACCCGTACCAAGAGATTTTAGAAATGAATAAATTTTTACTTGTTTAGATAGGGCAAGTATGAATTTATTCAAATAATGTTTTCTGAGGAAGTTAGATGCTTGTAACCCAAAGAAATTCGCGATAAATGTGAAAGAATACGTCACAAAAGTAGCATATGTAAACAATTTATTACTTTGACTTCAATAAAAATTAAAATTCTAAATCACTTCAACTGTACAAACTGCAAAACAGCAGCAGATGAAAAATGCTAATAAGCCAATGAGTAACTTTTTGGAGCTTAAAAGTATACCAAAAATAAGCTTTTGAGGAATACAAATAAAAGCATTTCTCAGGCATAATGGGTCATTAAGTGATTTTATGTAGACTATAAAGGGAATAGTTCTTAGCGGTATATGACCTGGAATCAATTTCTTGTCTCGCGTCGACGAATGGGATGCGAAGTGAGACGCGAGATTTCGACGAAATGCGAAACGAGTCACGGTATTGTATCATTCAAAAACAACCGATTATGATGTTCCGTTTGGACATAAGTAACATTTTTGTCTCCCTGAACAGCTATGCTCAATGGTACAAAGGTGCAATTGAAATGGTACGATGGTACGATGATTAAAACACGATGGCACGATGGTGAAATCACGATGATGCGATGACACGATAGAGAAAATAATATTGCGTTTTCATCATCATGCAATCGCAGTTTCATCATATCGTATGATCGTATTTTCACCATCGTTACATCGTCTTTCATCATAGTACCATCACGTTTTCATCATTAAGCCTTCGTTGTTTCACCATCCACCATCGTACAATCGTTGTTTCACCATCGTACAATCGTTGTTTCACGTTCGTACCATTGTGTTTTCAACATCGCATCATCGCGTTTTTCATCAACGTACCATCGTGCCATCGCACTGTCACCATTATACCATCGTGAACGGGATTTAGTATGTTTCAGTGCACGCCTTCAGGTTAAGTCAATCAATTTCTTGAATTAGAGATATTTAATTAATAGTTCACTGTAGGTTTTCATAAAGAAAGCATAAGTAAACTTTTTAATGATTACACTTGAGGTAAAACGGTGAACCTCGATTCTAAAAAAGAACTTCTGCCGTGGGACATATGTGACAAATAGTTTATAAAAAATGACATGAGACAAATGTGCTTTCTTGTCCCTTAAAAACACATGAGACAAATGTGCTTTCTTGTCCCTTAAAATACTTGATCGGAGCACATTTGTCACACAAATGAGTTTTTGGGGTAGACATTTGAGGTCCCATTTGTCTCATGTGGGACAAATGCGATCGTATCGGTCTAACGTAAGACAAATGTGCTCCGAGACAAATGTGCTCCTACAAAGCATCTTATGTTCTAGTTGTATGTTGTTAATAAAAAGTATGTGATAATTGGGGCGTCGGTGACCGAGTGGTTAAGGTATTTGACTTCAAACCACTTGCCCTTCACCGCTACGGGTTCGAATCTCGATGGGGACTTTTGCTTCTTTTATGTGAGGAAGCTATCCAGGTAGCTTCCTGAACGTCGGTGGTTCAGTTCGTGTGCCCGTTCGTGCCTGAAAAAATAATGTACGGAAGGGCATCCGAGGGCTCCCTCCACCAATAAAGCTAGTGAAAGCGGTGACACCAATATACTGTGTCGGTGCAACGTTTAACCCAATAAAACTTGGTGATAAATGAAAACTCACAATACAGGTAAAGTAACTTCACAGTTTGTCCATGATTTGTTTAACTAAATAACCCAGTAAAATGCTATAACACAAGAGGTTAGCAATGCCTGTTGTAACTGTAAATAGTATATCAGTAATTACTATGATCAGATCACACATCAAAGTTGTTGATGTTGGTTTTTGTTGTTTGTTTTTTTGTTGTTTTTTTTTTGTTTTTTTTTTCCAAAACGGAAAAACATATAAAGATATAATATCACAAAAACATCTTTACAATAACAAGACTTAGTGTGCTAACTGTTAAAGAAACAACACAAGAGAAAAGATGTTAAACTATAAGAGTAACTCGTTTTAAATCGGCTTACTTCGTCACTATCCGTGTCATTGTTTGTAATTGGCGTCCGCGCCGAAGCGCGGCGCTCTTATGGAATGAAATCAGATTTTGTGAAAGGGCGACAGCAACTTCTCGAGCCTTTTAGTCGGTCATAATAAAAGCCGAAAATTCCGATCGGTATGAGGGTGCTTGATTATTAATTAAGAATGAAATGTCGCGATATGTTACAATGAATTTTCGCAATGCAAACATTTTCAAATGAAATAACATTTTCCGTCAATAAATCGCGCTCTTCGGGGTTTATATTTATCATTTTGTAGCACACAGTCGGTTACCATGGTATGTTATTGTTGTACATGTATCCTAGAATGATCAGTTGATGACCTAAATATTCCAAAAACCTATTTATAGATATATAGATCTATTTATCACTCCTATCGGTAAATGCCGGTCTCTCCCGGTCTATTTTGACAAGGATTTACTAGTGAGTCGTGACCGGCGAATAGTACCACACGTTTATTGTCTGGTCTCTCCCGGTTTTGGAGTAGATGTTTGATATCGTTAAAAAAAAACAACAATAGCATGTTTCATTTTATCTATATGAGATAAAAACAATAAATATGTACACGGATTTATATGTAATATAAATACGTGATATGTACAATAATTGAGAAAAAGGTACATTTTTTATGGTATTAAAATGACATTATCAACTTTGAAACATTTTATTTAATTTGTTATCCGTGTTTAGTAAAGATGCCGAGGAATTATTCAAAGTTACAAATTAGATTTTATGAATTATTCAATTGATTGATAATTTAAAAAATGATAAAGAAAAATACAATGTACATGGTTTAAGAATAAACAATATTATATATTGAAAGATAAACCATAATTTACTGACTTTTTCCAGTTAAGCTTTGACTTAATCGTCAGTCAATATGACAATTGAATTCTTACAATTTATTTTACAATTTTAATAAAAAAAGAGTAGTAAAAACTCAGTATTAAAATAGCACATAAAACACAAAAAAGAATAAAAGAAAACAATATTCATAAAATTCGTATTTTTTAAATTAAAATTACTAGATATTACAATTATTGTATAATAAACAATTATGCTCAACATGATCAACATGGTAATATAACCAGTGTCATATTTTTACTAACTTAAAGTGTGAACAGATACCTTAAGGGGGTCTTCGCTAATAGCGATAACATAATAAGGGACAATTACAAATGTGTGATACGTGTTGATCATGCGTTACACATATGGATTATAAATGATTGCATACATGTATATCCGTTGCTATTAATAACCACGATCATAAAGAAATAAAAAGTAATATTCTAATCTCTAGCATGCCAATCAAAGTTCATAATGAACAATGTCTTTCGTCCGCTCATTCATAAGTGATATACATTTCTGGTAGTTTATAAGAATATCTTGTCATCATATGTGTACTAGTTCATCTTCACTTGCTGCATTTCTTGCTTGGACGCCCTTTGATGCTTTGCATCAATGCTTTTCTTGTAAGCTGTTGGAATGACAAGATTTTTTACTCCTAGTTAAACTGACGCATACATTTGTATAAGGTCTACATAGTGAACGAAAAATATCGAAATAGGTTATATTTTCACCGTGATAAAGTAGTTTCAACTTCTGATACATGTAGTTTTATTAGATCTTAATTTGTAGATCTATACACCTTTTCGTATAAAGTCTAGTACTAAAACGATTAAAAGAACATAAAACCTTAAACACTATACTTTATTATCTGTTAGACATTTTTCTACACATGCTATACAAAAATCATTTTACTCGTTCTACACAAATCTTATTTTTCTTATTAAATAAAAAGAGCAGTTGCTTCCGCTTGTAAATGCATTTATTAATTTTTCCTCTTTGTATCATCACTTCGTTTTGTCATTCAGAAAAGTGGAGTTGATCGAAATGCACTACTCAGTTATCACATAACTCTTTACTTTGTAGTTTGTATTAAAATCACTAATAATAAAATGGTATACACATAAATACACGTAAAGATGATTTATTAACATAAGTATCATCACTAACCTGTTTAATACCTTTTTCACGTTATAAACTTCTCGGGAAATTAAATCGGCCTCCAGCTTTTCTAAAGGTTAACTATGTTGTTTTTTTAGATAAATCGTTTCATATAATTGTCAAACCAAAAATAACAGGGTGGAAATGAAATTTGCCAACAATGAAATACATAAATAATAAAGAAACTCCTAGATATCTCTATAACCTACCGGTCCAATTATTATTATTATTATTATTGGCGTCCGCGCCGAATAGCGGCGCCCCTTATGGAATGAAATCAGATTTTGTGAAAGGGCGACAGCAACTTCTCGAGCCTTATAGTCGGTTATAATAAAAGCCGATCATTCCGATCGGTATGAGGGTGCTATTAAAATTGAAATGTCGCGATATGTACAATGAATAGCGAACTGGAGAATTCCGCAATGCAAACATTTTCAATTGAAATAACCTTTTCCGTCTCCACGGGTTTTTTATTTATCATTTTGTAGTACACAGTGGGTTATTATGGTATGTTGAGTTGATGACCTAAACATTCCGAAAATCTATTTATAGAGGGATGTACTCCTATCGGTAATTCCCGGTCTCTCCCGGTTTATGTTGACCGGGATTTACTAGTGACCGGCGAATAGTATCACCCGTTTATTGTCCAGTCTCTCCCGGTTTTGCAGTAGATGTTTGATATCGTTACAGAACAGAACAAATATTTTACAGATAAATAAGCTTTTTTTCCAAAATGAATGTTTGTCACTTAGTTTGGTTACAATATTTAATAAACATAGATCAACTCTCAAATTTATTGATTATTATTATACATAAACATACAATTCGAGAAAAAAAACAACAACAACAATAATATTTCATTTTATCTATATGCGATAAAAAAGGTACATTTGTATGGTATTAATATGACACTATCAACTTTGAAACATTTTATTTAATTTGTTATTTGTGTTTAGTAAAGATGCCGAGGAATTATTCAAAGTTAGAAATTAGATTTTATGAATTATTCAATTGATTGATAATTTAGAAAATGATAAAGAAAAATACAAATGTACATGTACATAATTTAAGAATAAACAATATTATATATTGAAAGATTAACCATAATGTACCGACTTTTTCCAGTTAAGTTTTGACTTATAATCGTCGGTCAATATGACAATTGAATTCTTAAAATTTATTTTAGAATTTTAATGAAAAAAAGGAGTAGTAAACGTAAAAACTCAGTATTAAAATAGCACCTAAAACACAAAAAATAAAGGAAAACAATATTCATAAAATCTGTATTTTTATATTAAAATATATATTACAATTATTGTATAATAAACAATTATGCTCAACATGATATAACCAGTATCATATTTTTACTAAGTGTGAACAGATATCTAATGATTGTATACGTGTATATCCATTGCTATTAATAATCACGATCATAAAGAAATAACAAGTAATATTCTAATCTCTAGCATGTCAATCAAAGTTAATAATGAACAATGTCTTTCGTCCGTTCATTCTGGTAAAAACCAATTAACCATTGAAAAGTTTATAAGAATATCTTGTCATCATATGTCTTCTAGTTCATCTTCACTTTCTGCATTTCTTGCTTGGACGCCCTTTGATGCTTTGCACCAATGCTCTTCTTGTAGTATACTGTAGCGGACGAATCGTTTCTAGATCTTCTATTTTTAGAAATAACAAGAAATAACAGTCACTGACGCGTTATAAATAGATCTAGGGACGCTGTTTTAAAGAAAATAAACAGTAACATGTTTTTTTGTTTTTTTTTTTCTTTTTTCAAAATAAAATTACTTAAATACTTAGTTTGAAACAAAGCAAAATTGTTTTTTCGAACAGAAAAATAAAAGCTGAAGGTCGCTTTAATTAAAATAAATATATGTAAAGACGATTTGTTGAAAATTTCTTGGGAAAAAAACGACACTGCTTTGATGCCTTTCTCTTCTTATATATGTTTCCAAAGACTTCTGTTACAATTAAATAGAGCTCTGTGATATTTCTGAAGACGAACCTTTTATCAACATGATCCATTATTTTTTTTTACAAAAGATTTACACACGTTTATTTTGTCACACTTCTGATACATAGAGAACTTCTTCTTGTAAATAATTATCTACATTGCGTCAGGTTTAGAAAGCACTGTAATCATTTGCGGTGTCCATGCACAATCCAACGGCGAAGAAAATACCAAGTATCTAAATAAGGAAAATTATATCTTATTTGCATAACAATGCATGGTCGTTGAAATTCAAATTAAAGTGACATTATGTCCATCTAAAGGTATATAGTGAGTGAACTGGTGAGAGTCAAAATAAATTTTCATTTTGCCATAATTCCCTTTGATTTAATGATTTACTTCGGATAAACAATAAATAACCACCGGATTCAAACGGAATTTTAGTAAATATCAATTAGAATGTACATGTAACGTTCAATTTATAAAAAGAGTCTTTTTGTATTTTTTTCAGATTTTAAATTTTATCCTAAACATTTTCCAATATAATCTGTTGGTCAAAAGTCATTTAACCAGTCAATCTTTTGAAATATAAAGTCAATTCAGCTCAACTTGACAATGAAAATATGAGCATAATGTCACTTTAAAATACAAGAGAATTTTTTTCTCAATTATTATCTCCCATAATGTAGCGAATGTAAGTTGTCCTTCCATATAAATTTATAGTTTATGTCATATTCCGGTACTTGTTTTCGGGGTCCATACACATACCAATTGCCAGGAAAAATGTCACAATCTAAATTATAAAAAATGTTATCAAATTTTCTAGGAAAATAGATTTAGTATTAGAATCAACCAATAAATCAATAGATCAATCAAAATAAGTAAAGAAAAATACTTGTAGATGAAATATTATGAAGTTTATACGCATTGTTAAGTACAATATCAATAAATTGTTTGGATGAGTATACAGCTCTTAAATAAATCTATATTGGACGAAGCACTGGTAGAGTCTGACATGGGTTTTGCAGCTGTGTACGAATCCAGTCCAGTACGCATTGTTCACCACAGTGTATAATGACTTATTGTTTCACACCGCCATTTTATACATTTTGACAAAACTGTGTAAAATAGTTTTTTTATATATATTTTTGGACTCTGAAATGAAAACGAGACTTGACAAAGTGTGATATGCATTTTGATATAGATTTTTTGAAATTGAGGCTATATTGGGCACGATAGGCATGCGGAATGGATTTTTTGGGACAAGGATTAGCTGGATCCAATAACAATTCCTATTAAAGTATCACGAGGTACAACCACTAAAAGTGCATTAGTTATATCTTATAAAGTGTGGAATAAATTGAGATACAGTAGTGATGGTTGGTCAGGATCTTTTTCTCTTAAATTCTGTATTGATATTCAAATTGGATAGCAAACAGGCTACAGCCAGAAAGTAACAAATTATGGCTTCACAGCTCCCATCTTCGAACAAATGATGGTATATTGCTTTTTCACATTTTGGCCCTTCGTTAGACCAAACCTAGTCCGGCCAGTTCTTTCCCACTGTCCTTTGTTTCTGTTTGGTGACTGATAATCTGTAAGTCACTGTCATGTACCATGACACATGTCATTGACCTTTAAAATAACACCAGAACATCACATTGATATGCTTTAGATAACTGTAAAAAGGTCGTTATCAGAGGTGTGGCAGCAACAGCAATAGAGTCTTATTTGAACATTCAAATTCATATCTAGTTATGAGCTTACAGCAAAAATCGTGAGATATTACCTGTAGGACAGCAATTGTAACTCCAACACCAATTATAGTGGCGACGTTGGCATAAATAATGTCCTGTAGGCTGGTAAAACATCCCTGTAAAACACAAGTTCTCTTTCATAAATTTCGTATTCTTAAAAACATAAAGGCACAATAAAAACAGCATTATCTTAAACGTTACCCGATCTCAGGATCTTTTTTCTATTTGAGGACATCTCAAGGGCAGATAACTTATACATAAGTCTGACTAACTTTTTTTGACATTTGCTTTAAATTTTCAGTTATAATTGGTCGAAATATAAAATTTAATGAAATTCCATGAAACCACTTTTCTCGATTTCCCATTTTCACTAAAGAGCCTGAAAAAATCTTAAAATATGGCATTATAGTACTTTAAAAAGAATTGATAACAATCGATAGGTAAAGAAAAAAAAAACAAATAAATTATGTTATGCTTAAAGTAAAAAAAATCACATTTTAAAGGGAAAGTTCAAAGGGGATAATTCTTAAATAAAATGGTCCTAGTTTTATGAGCTTGTCACGTGATTATGATGTTAATGGTGATAAGAAACATAATTATATTAAATAAAGAAGTTGGTGTAAAAAATAATAGTTTTAAAGTGAATCCACGGTCTAGGGGAGATAAATATTGAAGTATTGCTTTTAGAGTTGTCACTGGTTGGTGATAAGGAACATTGATTTGTTTGTTTGTTTCATTTTACGCCTTTCCAGTCATATAGGCGGGTAGTTTCTTAACCATTGTTCCAGTACTAGACTACCTTCCTCCGCGCTAAACTACCAAAGCATCTCCCGGGGAAGGTATATTAGAAGTATATTTTAGTCGATCTCAAAGTCATAACACTTACAGTTGTTTCAAGAACATGAGAAGATGTAATATTTCCATCGATGTACATGCGAGCGTCCATCTGACACTGTGTACCATTTTGTGGTGTCGGGTGGTCGGCGTCCGTGTTTGTCAAAACGCAACAAGTGGTCGGGACAAACATGTACTGATTGAAAAAAAAATACGATTAACATACTTGAACTAAATACAAACATATAAAAACTAAATTGAAATATGAAATAACAACAGAAATTAGATTGAGTGTACTAATATGCAATACACTGATGTCATTACTTGGTAATTAAATAAGCACTGATCGGTTAATTAAAACTGATAATTAAACATTTTTGTAACAACATAAATAAATTGTGTGCGTGTCATGATGATAAAACCGAACCATCAGTCATCAGTGCATTTCCACGCATTGGGTTTGATATATCGGGCTCGAGCACAATAAATAGGACCATCCATCTACCGTAAACCACATACTCGGGGTTCAGACCCTGCCCGTCTTTGACCTAATCTTTCAAACTCTCAGATAATATATTTATCTCTTTTCAGACTTAGTGTTTGTGTGTATTCATTTTGAACGTGTATGAAACTAAGTATGTACACAGATACCCAGTCGTATTAAATTGTTTCAAAAAAACTGTTTTAGATCTGACAGGAGCACAACAATGCGGGAAGTAAGGTCAGTTGTGTTAAGTTTTCGGCCTAGCGGCCTGGTGGCCAAGCGATTTGAAGTTTCCGGCCTAGCGGCCTGGTGGCCAAGCACTGTGAAGTTGCCAGCCTAGGGTCGTAAAGTTAGCGACCGGGCGACCAAGCGGTGTGAAGTTGTGGACCTAGCGGCCTGGCGCCCGATTGGAATGAAGTTAGCGGTCGGGCAGCCGAGCGGTGTGAAGATAACGGCCTGGTGGCCGGGCGGCCAAGCGGTGTGAAGTTAGCGGCTGGGCGGCAAAGCGGTGTAAGGTTGGTGGCAAGAGATGACAGGTACAGGTCTTGAAGTATGTGGATACAACTCTCTTGCGAAGGATAAGCGGCATTTCTATGTTGGGGGATACTCTTTTGCCCTACGCAGCTTCCGCATGCGTGCGAAATTACTACATCTTGTCAATTTTTTATAGCAAAGGACCCTGTCGTAGCAAGAATGGTTCTTCAACGTTGAGTGTGTCAATAATTCAACTATGTAGCAAATTTATCCGATTGTATCCGAATGTGTGTATAGTAACAAGCGTTAACAAATAAATGCTATCATGTTGAATAACATGTAAATTAAATCTGTTAATATTACATTACTAAATAGCTATGTGGTTTACGACGCATACGGCTGACTGAAAATGTAATTCTACACCGAAATACGAAAAATAAACCATAACTTTACCGGCTCATTGAATTTCACTTCCGTATAGTCTTTCGGACCCTTTGATCCACAGCATTTGAGCTAAAAAATACAAAACATGTAAACAGAAATAATTAGATGATTAGCCCGGGAATAAATTAGACTGTTAAAGTAGCATGATGCTATTTTTTTTTTCATTACCATACATTCTGAACAATATTTGAGCCGCGTCACGACAAAACCAACATAATGCGTTTGCGACCAGCATGGATCCAGACCAGCCTGCGCATCCGCGCAGTCTGATCAGGATCCATGCTGTACGCTTATCAACCCTTTTACAAGTAGAGAAACTGACAGCGAACAGCATGGATCCAGACCAGCCTGCGCATACATGTTTTGTATTTTTCTTAGCTCAACTATGTTGTTTTTGTCGTGACGCGGCTCATTTCCATTGCTCACATGAATTATTGATTAATGGTTCATAATAAAATACGAAATTGAACGCTATTATAGCAAAATGTCAAGTTGTTTCTATTTTACCTGTTCACTGACAATTTACACTTGGATGGGCATGTCCCATAAAGCTTTAAAAAAACACCTTTAAAGTAAAACTGACGTGCCTTCAGAAGAGTAAAATGATTTTCAATATAAACATTAGCAATTCATGTGAAAAGTTTTATAAATACGAATGTATTGTCTATCATTTGACCGAAATTATTACTCTAACCACCAAAATCTTAACCCATGTATTAACGCATGGGGATTAATTCTGCATATTTTGAAAATTTCTGTGGATAGTAAATGACTTTGACCATGTTAAATCACTTAATTTGAACAGGAGGTAATATTGTTACTCATTAAAACCACCTGTCATCTTTTATCATATTCATAAAAAAATCTACATAAAATCTTGGGGCTTGCCCCTTTAAAGTTAAAAGGTTTAAAGGAAACCGCCCACGTGCGTTTCAAACGAGCAGTCATTAAATACAATACTAGTATTCATTAAAGATATCCATGGATATCAAGAATAAAGAAATTTTCTTAAGATACTAGTTGGCGTTAGCCTCTTTGAGACAGACAGACGGACAGACAGACGGACATATCGACTGCAGGGTCGGAGCTTACCCAGGTCTGAACGTTATCCCAATCATCAGCATTATCACTCCCTTCTTTATAGGTCTTGATGGTCTTTTTGAGTGAATTTGAGAAGGAATCATCAATCTGAAAACAAATCACCTTTCATTAACCCATTACTTCATATACACGCCTTTTAACGCCTTTTTCACCCCCCCCTTTTTGTTGTCTCAAATGATGAAAAAATGCCTTATTTAGGCCCCAAACACTTGTTTTCGTTTGAGAAATGTTGTTAAGAAAAGTGACCCTTTTTTCGGCGCGGCCCCCCAACCAAAATATACATCAGGGGGTTGCCAGAAGGGGGATGTGCCCCCTTCTGTTTGGGGGGGGGTTTGAAGGGGGGCGGAGTCCCCCTCATCGCCAAGAAAATTTTGGACTTGTGAGAGGCTGTAAATGACCCCAGATTGATCATAAGGTAACGTGTAACCAACGCTGAAAAGCATTTGACTCTATCTCAATCCATTGAGAAGTTGCAGCACTTTGAAATCAATTTTGATGGAAAAAATCAACGCAAAAAAGTGATTTTTGAGATGTCCCCTCGTTGCCATGGTAACAGAAAATTTAAGCCTGAGCATGTTGTTTTAAGGGCAATGGTCCAGTCAACATTTGTGCCAAGTTGGATTAGTGTTGAAGCAGTTTTTATAGTATTATAGCAATTTGAACTTGTAACGGGTGACTTTTCAATGAAAACAGCCATTTTTCACAAAATGCTCATGAAGTAATGGGTTAATGAAAAAAATAAAAAAATCTACAAAACAACAATTTTTCTTCAAATTTATATGACAGGCCATGTTTAAACATGAAAAAACGCGATTTAGGGTAATTTCAAGTATTTTCATCATTTTCTGTTAACCCATTACTTCATATACACGCCTTTTAACGCCTTTTTCACCCCCCCCCCTTTTTGTTGTCTCAAATGATGAAAAAATGCCTTATTTAGGCCCCAAACACTTGTTTTTGTTTGAGAAATGTTGTTAAAAAAAGTGACCCTTTTTTCGGCGCGGCCCCCCAACCAAAAGATACATCAGGGGGTTGCCAGAAGGGGGATGTGCCCCCTTCTGTTTGGGGGGTTTTGAAGGGGGGCGGAGTCCCCCTCATCGCCAAGAAAATTTTGGACTTGTGAGAGGCTGTAAATGACCCCAGATTGATCATAAGGTAACGTGTAACCAACGCTGAAAAGCATTTGACTCTATCTCAATCCATTGAGAAGTTGCAGCACTTTGAAATCAATTTTGATGGAAAAAATCAACGCAAAATAGTGATTTTTGGCAATTTTGAGATGTCCCCTCGTTGCCATGGTAACAGAAAATTTAAGCCTGAGCATGTTGTTGCAAGGACAATGGTCCAGTCAACATTTGTGCCAAGTTTGATTAGTGTTGAAGCAGTTTTTATAGTATTATAGCAATTTGAACTTGTAACGGGAGACTTTTCAATGAAAACAGCCATTTTTCACAAAATGCTCATGAAGCAATGGGTTAAATAAAAAGAATCTGTGATTAAGGATAAGTGAGATTGAACGAAAAAAATCTAACAAAAAAGCTCCCACATATTTGTAACGAGCAAAATCGGTAAATTGACTTAACTATTTCATGCAAAAGTTTCTATTTGAGATAAATAACCAGTCATGCAGACATTAATTCGTTATGAACGTCTTAAGAATTGACATTCTTTTTCAATGTTATTCTTTGCTATTTGTGAGTAGAACAAAACCAGTCGCAACTTCTCGGCACTTTCCGTCAAACATCGGTTGGAAATCGGCGAGACAAAAAACTAAAAATGCTTACCTCCCCTTTAAATTTCCCGTACACAACAGCTGCTGCCACACAACATCCAAATATAACCAGCAGACATATTACGTACTGTAAATAAATATAAAACAAATGATGACGTCATATCATTACAAAGCGGCCCATTGAAAAGCAATGACCTTTCCCAAATTAACAATGCCCCCCAAATAATCAACCTCAGTAGACTAATGCCTCGCAGCAGCAACCAAAATCTTGCACCTATCAATATTTTGCCCGCCGGGGGGGTCGGCGGGCTGACCCAGGGGAATTTGACATCTTAAAATGTTTGATGTCTAAATCCCCACCCTAGAGACAACCAATTTTGTCTAAATCCCCACTCTTGAGCCTGTTTGGTGCATCAAATGCCCCGGGGGTAGGGGAGAGGGTAAATATCTAAGAGATCAATCAATAAATAAAACAGTTATCAGAAAAACAATGAAAAATATAAGTACAAAGGCTTATCATTAGGAAAATAATGAATCCAGATTAATGGGCCTCTGAAGTAAGGTAGGTAGATTCACTCCCAATGAGTATATATGTATCAATTGTAGTTTAATAACTTTGATAGTATTCAAATAATTAGACTTTGAAGATACTTATAAAATGGGTATTTTCAAGTAATAAAGGGGCATAATTCTGAAAATAATGCATCCAGGTTATAGGCCTTCTTAGTATGGTAGTCCCACTAAATACCGTACCTAGTTTCAATTGAATATCTTTCATAGAATAGAATGTATGACTTAAAAAACTTAAACCATTGCGGTCACGGACACACAAACGATCGTATAAGCCCTTTAATATTTTACATTTATAGTTTAGCTACAAAATAAACCTACTAACATAGTTTCTGACTCCACATGACCCAGTTTCTGTAGGGATGATAAGCATGCTGACCAAGCTTAATTATAATTGAACCATATCTGTGCCTCTTAGAGTGTTAAAACACTAAAAGTTGAGAACACCAGATTTGCGAAGACAGACATTCACCGATTACAATAGCTTCGTGCTCACAGCTCAGATGAGCTAAAAACTTACAACACTTTAACTTCTTATTTTATTTTAACATTTAACACAAAAAGTCATTAAAAAGGACATTCTTCCTCCTCCTGCGGCCAAACCTGGACACTTCCACATTGTTTTTCTGAAATAGAGGGCATTTTTACAATCTTTAAGGTTTCAAATTTATTAAGTTTCATTTAAATTGGCCCAAAAATGTTCTAAGATTTGACCCAATGACTTAATTTTTTGACCCCTCATGACCTAATTTTGAACATGTTCTAGATTTCATAGAGTTGAACATTTACACTTAGTTAAATGAAAAATGGGCCAAAAATGTGGCGTCTAAAGTGTTTGCATTCTTTTTCTAAGAAATGACCTAGTGACATAGTTTAGGACCCCACATGACCCAACCTTGAACTTTGCCGAGATTTCAGCCAAACATTTTGACAAAGTTTCATGGAGAAATGACAATTAAAGCTCAAAATGAACACAAAGCTACAAAAAAACTGACATAATTTTCTTAAGCTAAGTTGCATGGTGTACTCACAATCTGGTGCACTTTCCTCAAGAGCCTGGATAGGAGCAGGAGCCTGGATGGGAGCTTGAGTCGGGATATATAGGAGCTTGAACCTTGATAGGAGCTTGGGCCTAGATAGAAGCTTGAACCTGGATTGTTTAAAAATTAATAATTTAGTAGCACAACTTGAAAAAGATTTCCAACATATATTTTTGATAGATAAAACAGTAGGTTGCTTTTAATTCTATGGGAACAAAAATGGTACTGAATTTTGTTTTTCGTTTTTTTTAAAACACATTATTTTCTAACAATTCTGCTGGTACTAAGTCTATCAAACTAATCATGCAATTATGGTGGGGAATCACGTGATATGGAGACTACATGACTATTCTTCAGAAATTATTTTTTCATCCAAACATACCTCCAATTATTACATTTACGCTACATGAGAGCAATATATTTATAGCGTATTTCGAAGATTTTCTTTCATGTCTTTAAGAAATCAAATGCAAATTTTTACATCAGAATTCTACTTCATGTCATTGGTGTGAAACTGAATACTCTTTTAATTCAAATAAAGTTTACAAATGCATAATGGGACTTTAAGATACCATGTTACGTCACAGGTCACCATATCAATGATTCCCCACCATGTCAATGATAAAATACACATATTTAGACCACAGAAGTGCAATACCCCTTATGTTTTGTATGGCTTTCAGAAAAAAGAGTTTTTTTGGCCTCAAACTCATTTAATGTTGATGCAATCATTTATGAAATTCAACTCATAATGTCATTGTACCTGAATACCTCTTTCAAAGACCGTGTCTCGAACGCCTTTGCCTTGCCCTTTTTTCTGTTGGCAGAAACACTCGTCAAATGGTCAAACCAAATGTTCACCTGTTTAAATATAAATCAACATTTTAATACATTCACATTTATCAGATTAGAACAAAGCCTGAACATAGTTTCTGCAGATTCAATTTACTTTTTATTAGAGCAAGTCACGACCGTAAAGCAATACAAGGCCAATGAAGATGAAACCGATAGCCAAGATTCAAAGCCTCGTTATGACAAGCAGTTGAAACAGTAAATGATAAAATACAATGATGGGAATACATCTGAAAAAAGGATATTATTTTATCTGGATCTGTTTTGACATACATTGTATTTAAATGCATTTTCTTACTTTATTAAAAATCATATTCTAACAGAGACATAGATAACAGAGATAGGCTTCTTCCTAGCCAGTTAAAATATCACGCGTGCCTGCTAAACTTAAAACTTGTAGCAAGTAAAACTTATTAACCAGATATCAAAATCAGTAAAATAATACATTTTCTGAAAACTTATGCATTTGTCTATGGCTGCAGGTAAAAATATTTACAGTTCCCATTTAAATAAATGTAACATCATTTTTTAAAGAGATATATTTTGTTACAAAACCATTCATATTACAGAAAAAAAACTGGCTCAGTGGGTATGTTCATTGTTCTGCCATGTTTTTCTAAGGGAAAGGCATGGAAAATTACCAATATTTTAACATGCAGCCATAGATGAAAGATTTACCTTTCAAAGAAAGGGTATATAATATTTAAGGATCAAATGTACATCCATTAAGTTGTTTTTGCGACAAAATGCCTTATTTTTCACTTTTTGATAGGCATGAGTGATATTTCAATGGAGTATATAAGAACTGCTTATCTCTATGTCTCTGATTCTTACAAGGCTCAAGGGAACTACTGTCAGACTTGGAGTACCATGACTTCAGCCTTTGGATTTGGACTCCCTTGCACGGATGTGCAGGCTGATCTGGATCTACACTGGGAGCATAGGTTTTAAATAATTAAAAAATGAATAATTTATAACATAATTCTGTGTGTATGTATTCAACATCTGTTTCGTGTCACTTGATCAGTTCATTCATACTGCAGAGATATGTGTCAGTTTCATGTGATTTCCAACGCCTTTCAGACTCGCAAATTAAATGGGTCTATTCGCGAAAACAGATGACAAACATGAATACCGCTAGGCTCCACATAGTGTCTGGGTATAGGTGAAAACAAATGAAGAATACAATCCCTGTGTACCTTTGCAAATAAATCCCAATTCTGGGGCAACCTTCTCGCCTTATCCCACAATTTTCTCTACCGTTGAAAAAGTTGAAAAGTTTCATGTCTGCAACTTCAAAAACACGAATAAAAATATCGCCGTCGTCTTTAGACCTTTCGCAGTTACTCCCCTTTTTTATTTTGTCGCGTCGAAATTCCCGAGTCCCGGGATTTAAAAACCGGCCAAAGTCTATTACCCGGGACCCGGATTCCATAAGTTTTTCAAATTTCCGCCTGTCAGGAATGGTCTTCTGTCTAAAGCCCCGTGTATGCCCGCCGCCCAACCACCCCCCCCCCCCCGGTAGGGCAAAATATTGACAGGTGCATCTATGTTAAACTGTATTTTTAAGAGGGAAAATTCAAATAAAATCAAAGTTTGGAAAAGTCAGCATTCATTATTTTATTATTTATTAAAGGATATTCTTTAATATAAGGTTGAATTTGATGGCATTTGTATTAGATTAAGTCACACATAATAAACAAGAGAGCTCAAATCGCTCACCTGTATATAGGCCCTTGGGGCGGGGCTAATTTTGACCCCAGGGCTATTATTTGAACAAACTTCATAGACACTCACTAGAAGATTTTTCATGTCAAATATTTAAACTCTAGCTCTTTCGGTTTTTTAAAAGAAGATTTTTTAAGTATTTACTATATACATCAAAGGAAAATCAATGCCCCCCCCCCCCACCCCGGGGACGGGCCAATTTTGACCCCAAGGCTTTTATTTGAACAAACTTGATAGACACTTACCAGAAGATGTTTCATACCAAATATGTAAGCTCTAGCTCTTTCGGTTTTTTAAAAGAATATTTTTTAAGTTTTTACTATATACATATACTCGGTTCCAAAAGAAAGTGTGCACTTTTTACATAAAAATGTTTTAATGTTTCTTTTGCAAATTTGGCATGGTTAGTCCTAAGTACACAATACATCGATCCAATATAAAACCTATCCCGTGCTGTCACGGAATTTTCGCTTTATATGGCAATACATAATATAGCATGATTTGCACGTGCAGTCCGAGGCGAAGGTACATGTCACAGGAAATGTGTAAAGACATAATCCTTTTACCCACTACATAGGGAAAAACACATTTAATTTCACAGAGCTTGTCACTGAACATTCCTAGACTGAATCAAAATCAGCGAATTCAAGCATTAAAGATGCTTGCTCGTGGTGACAACGTCTCCAACGTCAGTAGAGCGTTTGGTTGTCACAGAAACACAATATTATGGTTGCGCCAGCGTTTCCAGCAAACAGATGGGGTAGCAGATCGTCGTAGACCCGGTAGACCGAGGGTTACAAACCCTTGAACAGACAGGTTCATTACGTTGACGCACCTTCGACGTCGTTTTCAAACGGCGACAAGTTCTGCAAGGCAGTATGGTATCAGCAAACAGACAGTTTTTGAGCCGCCTCAGGCAAGTCCGGCAACCCATTCGGCCAAGGAGGCCCTATGTGGGTCAAGTGCTTACAGCACGTCATCAGGCTGCCCGTTTGCAGTGGACACAACGACATTTCCGTTGGGGGCGCGAGCAGTTGGCTCGGGTTATATTCTTGGATGAGTCTAGGTTTAACCTTAGTCATCATGACGTCGAATTCGAGTTTTTAAAAGAAGAGGGGAACGTTTTGCTGATAATTGTCTCATTGAGAGCGACCAATTTGGAGGTGGGAGTGTTAAGGTATGGGGTGGCATTATGGACAGAAGGAAAAAAAATCTCACTGTTGTGCAAGGTAATCTCAATGCTCAAGGTTACATTAACCAGATTCTGCAGCCTGAAACTTTTACTTTCCTTCAAAGGCATGAACCTGCAATATTGATGCATGATAATGCAAGGCCTCATGTTGCAAGGATACGTTGGCAGTTTCTAAACAGAAATAACGTTAACGTACTACCTTTGCTTGCTGTGTCACCGGATATGAATCTGAGTGAGCACTTCTGGGATTATCTTGGTAGGTTCGAGCTAGAGGGTACGTACAAAATCTTAGGGATCTGGAAAACGCCTTAAGTCAAGAATGGAATAACATTCCCAACGTCGTTATCAGACGTTACGTAAGGTCAATGCAAGGTCGCCTTGCTGCTTGCATCATAAGTCGAGGTGGCCACACTCGATACTGACTACAGTTAACATCGAATTTCCAATTTCAGCAGAACGAAATGATGAATTGTGGAAATTGCTAATTTCAGAGTAGTCTTGCAATTTTCATTTTCGGACCTAGTCCATTCTCGAGACAAAATCATATCCTAATGATACCGGAATTTAAAGTTTAAAGTCACGATTATAATGAACATGTTCTGATCTTGAATTTGGTACCAGATACATGGACATAAAGCATAATGGGCAATGGCAAATCGCAGAAAACAAAGTGCACACTTTTCTTTGGAACCTAGTATATAAGGAAAACCAATGACCCCCCTAGGGCGGTGCCAATTTTGACCACAAGGGCTTTAATTTGAATAAACTTAATAGACACTCACTAGAACATGTTTCATGCCAAATTTCTAAGCTCTACCTCTTTTGAGTTTTTATTAGAAGAAGATATTTTAAGTTTTTTCTCCGATTGCCATGGCAACCAGAGTATTGCATGGAATAAAATTCTTTGAACAATTTTTAAAGGTGACCACCAAAGGGACATTCCTTTGAAGTTTGGATGAAATTAACATGGCGATTTATGAGGAGTTGTCTTTTGTCTATTATGGTAAAAGTTTACGGACGCCGGACGGACGGACGACGGACGAAAAGTGATCACAAAAGCTCACCATGTCACTTTGTGACAGGTGAGCTAAAAATTGCGACACGTGACGTTGATCCGTGGAGAATGTGTGGTGTAGGGGTAGAGCACCGGACTCCTGATCCGGGGGTAGTGGGTTCGAATCCCACCAGTAATTCTTTTCCGTCTTCCAAAACGGTGATGCGATTATTGGTAATGATATCCGGGAAGGAGCCAACTTAAAATGCATGTCTAGGTCCCCAAAATGGGATTTGACAATATTGAGAAAACAAACAAACAATGCGTATGGCGTCATGAAAATTCTCAACGTTGTGCGTTGTATCTTACAATGCCATGACTTGTATAGAACGGGTACCATGACTTGTATAGAACGGGTACCACTTTTTTTTATTTCGGTGTGATATAATTTATATCTAACTGTTTTATTTGAGTATAAAGATAAAACAGTAGAGTAGACACGGAATTAATCAGCGCAATGAAGGCAATAATCAATGGAAGGAAAGCTTATTTGTGAGATTTATCAGTAAATAAAGGTAAATAATTCAGCCTTACCAAAAATATCAAACATTTACTTCCACGGTAGACCGCCAGACAACCAAATGCACTGACAACAACAACAAAAAGTCCGAACCCTATCAGAGCCAATCCTGCATTTGTCAGTGTGCTGTCACCGAGGCCATGATCCACAAGATCTTGTAAACTGACGAATCTTTTCTCGACCTTGACCCATATTCCTATACCGACAAATGCGGCGGCAGAAATCTGAAGAAAACAAAATCAGAGAGCGTGAATAGGCCATTCTCTGTGACATCTTCACAGTCCAAAGGTTTCAAAGATTTCGTGCATATTCATAAATTACAGGTAAAGTTATGTGATGACATGGCATTTTTGTATCATTTGAAACTTTTTTTTAACAAATGCGAGCTCCACTATTCTCAGTACTTGTCGAAATATATTGATGTAGCAAATCTAGATTCTGAGATATTTTTGTTTTGGAACGGAATCTCACTTCTAGAGGGGAGATATTTCCCATACACAAACTAGAACGATATCTAATCGCGGGAATATATGCGTAAATAAACGTATACATACCAGGAAAATAGTGTTGAACAATACAAGACACAATTTACACAAAGCAGAATTGCCGCAGCATCCACATCCGCAGCCGATACCACACCCACATCCTTCCCCACGACCTCCGAAAGTCTGAAAATGTGTGACACATACATGAACTTGAATTGTATTATCATTATTATTAATGATGTTGTTGTTGTCGTATTGGTTGGTCGGGTCGGTTGGGTCAGGTCGGGTCGATTATGTCGCTCTTTTTAAAAAGGGTTTTAGCAATGCACGTGATTTCGTGCATTCGACATTCATTCATAAATTTACACACTATATAAACACAAGTAACGTTCTAATAAAAACACTGCATCCACATATAGTGTATAGATTAATAAGTAAAACCTTTTCTACAAAAAAAGGTTACGATAAATTATCAACACAAATGAGGTTCAATAAAGTGTTATAAAGCATAAATAGAAAGCATAAATAGAAACATACCCTCTTTCCCATCTGAAAGTTTTAGTCACCTTTTTTCCTGAACTCAAAGTTCATTAGATAATGTCATCACTGTTGTACAGCGTCCACCGGATAAAGCCCCGAAAAAACACCGAAAACGAAAGTAGAAAGCTGCACACCGAGTACACCCAAGGTGATGTTTTAACTTATTTCTTCTTCATAACTTCATCGAGTTTTCCAAACAAAACAATATTGTGAAGCTAAATATGTCTGGTTTTAGAGCAGTGTTTGCTGTTGTCTGCAAATTAAATACTTTTTGTTAAATTGGTGATAAATTATAGTTTTCACCATTCAACTCAAGCTCCTTTTAACAAAATTTGCGAAAAACTGCCCCTTGCCATGTGTACAGGGTGTAGCACGGATATGTACGGGGTGTAGATGCGAGTGCACGGGGTGTAGAAGGTAAACGAATGTCATTTTCTGCAAAATAAATTCAGTACCGGAGCATATACACGTACGCTGATGAAGAAAACGATCGATGTCGGGAGCAGGGGGATTGTGAAGTGAATGATTTTAATTTTATAAAGGATAAAATGTTTAATTAAATTGTTAACATGTTACGCAACATGTATATTAATTGCAGTAAACAGTTTCCGTCCTGCTTTACCACTTTTTATGCGTGACTATAAGTTAATAAGAAAAATGTAAAACTCAAAAGACCACAATTTCATTCCATATTGGTAGAACATTATGAACAAGAAATTCTATAATTTGTCTTAAACAATTTCAAACCATGTTCGAGTTATGCATTGTGAGCTAAACTTGATCTGAACATTTGTATATGAGCTTTGGTAAAATATCCGCCTTGATTAGTTAGGTTAATCATTTGATTTATCTTTGTGGAAATACTACTGGCTATAAAGTCCTTCATATTTTATTTTTTGCAGTCAAACTCGATATTGTTTAATAAATACAATGCTGCCGCTAAATTATGCTTCTGCTTTTTCTGAAAATGATTATGATGACTCTTCAATAATGATGATGACGATAGTGATGATAATTATGGTTTTTTATGTTTTCAGTTCAACAATGCCATACCAATGTACAGAGTGTGCAGAGAGATATGAAACATTTAAAGAGTGTAGTCGGCATATTAATATTAAAAATTTTGTATCTTCTAAGTCGACTATAATAGCTTATATATGGCGGTTAAAACTGTTTTATAGAAGACAGTGCTAATGACATTTTATAGAAAATGACACTCCTGCATAATCTTTAAATCAATTTTCGACCTCCTGTCTTATGTGTAGGTTAAATTAGTTATACATGTATATATATAAATATATCCCCCCATTCGGACCATTTCAATCCAGCGTGTTGGTCAGAAGACTCCTCAACATGTCTTATAAATACCTACAGACACTATTCAGCTGATGGTTGTGATGGTATGACAATAAAAATTAAACGCAGCTATACTGTTAGGCCAAAAACACTAAAATATTAAAATTATTTTCAAAATACCTCTGTATCGTCCTCTAATCTATCCATGCTTAATCTGAAATGAGATAAATTCCATTTAAAAATAATAAAAGAGGCTATATACTTTTAAAAATATGTGACTGCTAGACACCGTACACATCTACTAAACCCTGTACATTAAACTACTACACCCCGTTCACTTTAAGTTGTTTTCTTTGCTAGACTCTGTACACAAGGCAAAGCCGTTTTTTGCAAATTTTGTTAAAAGCAACTCAAGTTGAAGGGTGTAAACTCAAATATAAGTAGAGGGATGACTATAATTTGTGTTAAACGGCGAATTTTGATACAGCAAATGCGTTGTGGGCTTGATTTAGTGGTAAATATCAACATCGTTCTCAAATGTCAACAAATACGCTACATTTTTTAGCCAAGTTAACAAAAAGTACTCAATTTGCAGACAAAAGCAAATATTGCTCTAAAACCAGAAACATTTAGCTTCACAAAATTATTAAGTTTGAAAAAATCGATGAAATTATGATGAGTGTACTCGGTGTGCAGCTTTCAACTTTCGTTTTCGGTGTTTTTCGGGGCTATATCCGGTGAACGCTGTACAACAGTGGTAATACCTTTATCAATATCCGATCAGTTATATGATTGTACACCGGTTACGTCAATCTTTGCTACTTCAGATTTTCCTGATCAAGGGGGGAAGATAAACTGCTTACGGAAGGGAATATTCGTTCGTCTTTTGAGTTGTTTGATATTCTAACATGCTAATTCGTATTTTATTAAGATACTTTTGCGGACATGCTTATCAATATGACACCTTTCTAATATCTATCTACCGGTATCTATCTCTGAGTACTGCCAACCCCTCTCGCGAGTGTTATAGGCAGGAAATTGTGCGCGTCGGGTGTGTTAGTGAAAGGTGTGAGAGAAAGTAAAAACCTGAAAATGAACATGATCAGGACAGTGAGAGACATTGAAAACTTCTAGTCATTGTTAAAATATTTTTATGAGTAAGGGTGAAGGAAAGATTTAAAAGTAAAAACACAACAAGTCAACTAATACTGTATCTTAACAACTGCCTGTTTGTATTGATATAGATCAGGCAGGGTAACATTGTTCCTTGGGAGCTGGTTCCCAAGTGTGATACAGTGGGGGAAGAAGGAGAACTTATGGTAGTCTGATGTAACCTGTATTTTCCTAAGAGAGAGGGGATTATATATCTAGTAAGCCTAGATGGAGTTTTAATGTAGGTGGGAAGGCTAATGGCTACTAGATTATGGTAAATTTTAAAAAACATAATAAGTCGAAAGTCTAGTCTGCGATGCTCGAGAGAACGCCAGCCAAGATCTTTCTGCATGGCTGTAACTGATGACAAAGGAGAGTAATCCTGTTTTACCCAGCGTATCGCTCGTCTTTGGACCATCTCTATTTTTTGGATGTTTGATTGTGTGTAGGGGCTCCAAACAGTTGATGCATATTCAAGCTGGTGTCTTACTAGGGATTTATAAGCTAGTTGTTTTACTTTTTCATTTTTTGTATTGATATTTCGTTTTATGAATCCTAGGGTTTTATTTGCATTTGATGTAATTCTTGAGATATGTGTGTTGTAGTTTAGCTCTGTGGACAAGTCAAGGCCAAGGTATTTTGAGCTAGGAACTGATGTTAAAGCTTGGCCATGAAGGAAGTACTTGTTGTTGATGACTTTTTTGTTTTTAGTGATGTGAAGGACTTGACATTTTGAGGGGTTGAATTCCATGTCCTTGCTGATGACACTGTGGTTTACATTACTATAAACTCGTCCTCAGACTCACAATCCCTTCAGGAGGATCTCAATAAGATGCAAATCTGGGAAAGGGAGTGGGACATTCTGGAAGCTACCTTGGATAGCTTCCTCACATAAAAGAAGACCCCGTCGAGATTCGAACCCACAGCGGTGAAGGGCAAGTGGTTTGAAGTCAACGACTTATAATTAACCACTCGGACACCGACGCCCCCATTATCACATATTTTTATTAACAACATACAACTAGAACATAAGATGCTTTCATTGCTGTCTGCCAATTGTTATAGGTTATAGGAGTTTTGTACTAATACATGAATTTGACACTTAAGAACCGTAATGCATGTGTTCCTAAATATCAAGTACCTTTATATTGTACGATAAGTATGCTACTAAATCTTCTCTGTGAATTGCGTCATGAATTCTATCATATATATCTAACACATCATGGACAAAGACTCAAGTTACTTAAACTGTATTGTGAGTTTTCATTTCTCGCCAAGTTTTGTTTGTTTGTTTGATTGGCTTAAACATTGCACCAACACAGTATAGGCCAATGTTGGCGGAAGATGTTTTGTTTGTTTGTTTGATTGGCTTAAACATTGCACCAACACAGTATAGGCCAATGTTGGAGGAAGATGTTTTGTTTGTTTGTTTGTTTGGCTAAACGTTGCACCAACACAGTATAGGCCAATGTTGGAGGAAGAAGTTTTGTTTGTTTGTTTGATTGGGTTAAACGTTGAAACAACAAAGTATAGGCCAATGTTGGAGTAATTGTTTTGTTTGATTGGGTTAAACGTTGCACCAACACAGTATAGGCCAATGTTGGAGGTGGTTCAGTTCGTGTGCCCGTTCGTGCCTGAAAAAATAATGTACGGAAGGGGTTCGAGGGCTTCCTCCACCAATAAAGCTAGTGAAAGCGGTGACACCAATATGTCCGTGCAACGTTTAACAAACAAACTTGGCGATAAACAAACAAAACTTGGCGATAAATTAAAACTCACACTACAGTTAAAGTAACTTGAGACTTTGTCCATGATTTGTTTAACTAAAATAACCCAGTAAAATGCTCGAACACAAGAGGTTAGCAATGTCTGTTGTAACTGTAAAGATTATTTCAGTATAACGACTATGATCAGATCACACATCTCAGTTGTTGATGTTGGTTTTTGTAGTTTGTTGTTGTTTGTTTGTTTGTTTTTTTATGTTTTTTTTCCAAAACGGAAATACATATAAAGAGATAATGTAACAAAACATTTTTACAACTACAAGTGTGCTAACTGTTAAAGAAACAACACAAGAGAAAAGATGTTTACAAAAATATAACATTCATCAGTAACTCGTTTTAAATCGGCTTACTTCGTCACTATCCCCCGTGTCATTGTTTGTTATAAGCTGTGGGAATGACAAGATATTTTTTTTAAATCTTAGTTATACTGACGCATACATTTGTATTAGGTCTATATACATGATATAGTGAAATATGTCACAATTTCACGGTGATTAAGTAGTTTCAACTTCTGATATACATGTAGTTTTAATAGATACACCTTTTTGTATAAGTCTAGTACTAAAACGATTAAAAGAACATAAAATATTAAACACTATACATTATTATAAGTACCTTTTTCTATAAATGCTACACAAAACCATTTTACCCGTTCTATACAAATCTTATTTTTCTTATTAGATCAAAAGAGCAGTTGCTTCCACTTTGAAATACATATATTTATCTTTCTTCTTAATATCATCATTCAGAAAAGTGGAGTTGGTCGAAATACACTGCTCAGTTACTTTGTAGTTTGTATTAAAATCACTAATAATAAAATGGTATACACATATATACATGAAATTATGATTTATTAACATAAGTATCATCACTAACATGTTTATTATCTTTATTCAAGCTATAAACTTCAAGGGAAATTAAAGCGGCCTTCAGGTTTTCTAAAGGTTAACTATGTTTTTTTAGATAAATCGTTTCATATTATTGTCATATAAAAAATTATATCGTGGAAATGAAATTTGCCGACAAAGAAATACATAAATAATAAAGAAACTCCTAGGAATCCTCTAACCTACCGGTCCAATTAGTATTATTATTATTATAGTATATATAGCGGACGGATCGGTTCCCGATCTTCTATTTTTAGAAATGACGTCACTGACGCGTTATAAATAGATCTCGGGACGCTGTTTTAAAGAAAATAAACAGTCACATGTTTTTGTTGTTGTTTTTGTTGTTTTTTTTTCAAAATAAAATTACTTAAATACTTAGTTTGAAACAAAGCAAAATTGTTTTTTCGAACAGAAAATAAAAGCTGAAGGTCGCTTTAATTAAAACAAATATATGTACAGACGATTTGTTAAAAATTCGCAAGTTTGAGATTCTGGAAAAAAAACGACATTTCTTTGATGCCTTTCTCTTCTTATATATGTTTCCAAAGACTTCTATTACAATTAAATAGAGCTCTGTGATATTTCTGAAGACGAACCTTTTATCAACATGATCCATTATTTTATTTTTTCACAAAAGATTCACACACGTTTATTTTGTCACACTTTTGATACATAAAGAACTTCTTTTTTGTAAATTATTATCTACACTGCGTCAGATATTCAAACGACTGTAACTGTAATCATTTCCGGTGTCCATGCACGATCCAACGGCGAAGAAAATACCAAGTATCTAAATAAGGAAAATTATATCTTATTTGCATAACAATGCATGGTCGTTGAAATTCAAATTAAAGTGACATTATGTCCATCTAAAGGTATATAGTGAGTGAACTGGTGAGAGTCAAAATAAATTTTTATTTTGCAATAATTCCTTTTGATTTAATGATTTACTTCGGATTAACAATAAATAACCACCGGATTCAAACGGAATTTTAGTAAATATCATTTAGAATTTACCTGTAACGTTCAATTTATAAAAAGAGTCTTTTTGTATTTTTTTTCAGATTTTAAATTTTATCCTAAACATTTTCCAATATAATCTGTTGGTCAAAAGTCATTTAACCAGTCAATTTTTGAAATATAAAGTCAATTCAGCTCAACTTGACAATGAAAATATGAGCATAATGTCACTTTAAAATACAAGAGAATTTTTCTCAATTATTATCTCCCATAATGTAGCGAATGTAAGTTGTCCTTCCATATAAATTTATAGTTTATGTCATATTCCGGTACTTGTTTTCGGGTCCATACACATACCAATTGCCAGGAAAAATGTCACAATCTAAAATTATAAAAAATGTTATCAAATTTTCTAGGAAAATAGATTTAGTATTAGAATCAACCAATAAATCAATAGATCAATCAAAATAAGTAAAGAAAAATACTTGTAGATGAAATATTATGAAGTTTCTCCGCATTGTTAAGTAAAATATCAATAAATTTGTTTGGACGAGTATACAGCTCTTAAATAAATCTATATTGGACGAGAGCACTGGCTGGGTCTGATATGAGTTTTGCAGCTGTGTACGAATCCAGTCCAGTACGCATTGTTCACCACAGTGTATATTGACTTATTGTTTCACATCGCCATTTTATACATTTTGACAAAACTGTGTTACTTCAAGTAAAATAGTTTTTATATCAACTTTTGGACTCTGAAATGATAACGAGACTTGACAGAGTGTAATATGCTTTTTGATATAGATATTTTGAAATCGAGGCTATATTGGGAACGATAGGCATTGTGGAGTGAATTTTTTTGGACTCTGGAAATTGAAACAAGGATAAGCTGGATCCAATAACAATTCCTATTAAAGTATAACGAGGTACAAACCACTAAAAGTTCATTAGTTATATCCATAAAAATGAAAATAAATTGATATACAGTAGTGAATGGTTGGTCAGGCACTTTTTTCTCAGATGCTGTATTAATTTAAAGTTGAATAGCAAATGGCCCCACAGCTGAAAGTAAAAATTATGGCTTCACAGTCCCTTTCGAAACTAAATGAGGTATATGCTTTTTTCAACATTTTTTGGCCCTTCGTTAGAACAAACCTAGTCCGGCCAGTTCTTTCCACACTGTCCTTTGTTTCTGTTTTGGTGACTGACTAATTGTAAGTCACTGTCATGTCAGACAATGTCATTGACCCTTTAAAATACACACCAGAACATCACACGTGTTATGCTTAAAAGGTCGTTATCAGAGGTGTGGCAGCAACGGCAATAGAGTCTTATTTGAACATTCAAATTCATATCTAGTTATGAGCTTACAGCAAAAATCGTGAGACATTACCTGTAGGACAGCAATTGTAACTCCGACACCAATTATAGTGGCGACGTTGGCATAAATAATGTCCTGTAGGCTGGTAAAACATCCCTGTAAAACACAAGTTCTCTTTCATAAATTTCGTATTCTTAAAAACATAAAGGCACAATAAAAACAGCATTATCTTAAACGTTACCCGATCTCAGTTTTTTTTTCTATTTTAGGCCATCTCAAGGGCAGATAACTTATACATAAGTCTGACTAACCTTTTTCGACGTTTGCTTTAAATTTTCAGTATATAATTGGTCGTAATATAAAATTTAATGAAATTCCATTAAACACTTTGTTTCGTTCATTCCAGTTTCACTTAAGATTCGGAACCTAAAAATATGGCATTACAGTAGTTTAAAGAGAATTGATAAGAATCGATAAGAAGAAGAAAAGAAAGAAGAAGATAAAACAAATAAATTATGCTATAAAATTTTTAAAGTAAGAAAATCACAATTTTAAGGAAAATGCTAAGTTCAAAGGGGATAATTCTTAAATAAAATGGTTCTAGTGTTTTTGAGCTTTCATAAAATTAAAAAAGGTGAAAAAAACGGGTTTTTTTTAAATAAAAAAGTTGGGTAAAAAAAAAAATTTTTTTTAAAGTGTTTCTCCTTCGGGAGATAAAAATTAAATTTTGTTTTGGTTTTTCATCAAAAACTGATTTGGTTTTGTTACGGGGTTGGTAAACCGAAAGTTTAATAAAAAAGATGTTTTTTTAGAAAAAATTTTATATCCCGAAAGAAATTTTAAATTTCCAAAAAATTGGCACCTGGGGGCCTAAGACACGCAGGTTTATTTGGGGACAGTGCTAATAAAAAATTTTTGTGAAATTTAATAATGATGAGGTTTGTTTAAAGTGAATTTTTATCTATAAAAAGTAAACATAAAAAATTTTTAACCATCGCAAAAAAAATAACAAAATTTCAATTCAAAATGGGGCCTGTTTAAACAAATATAAAAACACAAAAACTTTCATAAAACAAAAACAACAGTTAATTATTCCTTTAAATTTTGTCATTTTTAAAATTTTTTTTCATTTAAAAAAATATTTTTGGAAATATACTTTTCATGAAAATATTTTATAATGAATAAAAGAGTTTTGCCGAAAATTATTTGATCGGGCAAGAAAATTTTTTTTTTTTTTTAAAAAGTTCCCGGTAAAATTAAAAATTATCTTCGTACAGACAGCAAAAAAGCCCAAAACATTTTTACAGTTTTTAAGAACTTTGAAAAGGGGGGGAAATTTTTTCCATCAGGGTACAGCGACGCCAATCGAACGTGTACCTTTTTTGGGTGTCGGGGGGTCGGCCCCCCGTGTTTTGCAAAACGAAACCAAGGGGTTCGGGAAAAAAAATGAAACTAAATTTGGGAAAAAAAAAAAAGTTAAACAACTTGAAAATTACAAACAATAAAAAAAAATTTGGGAAATTTAAGGGAAAAAACAAAAAAAAATTAGATTAAATGTATAATCCAATACCTGATTCATTTTTTGGTTTTTAATGGGCCACAAATGGGTTTTAAAAGTTTTTTTTAAAAATAAAATTTTGGCGGGGCTTAAAACCCAAAAACCGCCCCTTTTCCGTCACCCAATGCATTTCCCCCGAAATTGGGGTTTTGATATTTTCGGGCTCGAGCCCCAATAAATGGACCTTTCCATCAAACCGAAAACCCAAAATACTCGGGGTTCAGCCCCTTCCCCGTTTTTTGCCCTATTTTTCAAACCTTCAGATAATATATTTATCTCTTTTCCAGTTAGTTTTGGTGTATTTTTTTTGGAACGGTATGAAAAAAGTACATGTTTAGAATCCCCCGGGGCGTTTTTAAATTTCAAAAAAATGTTTTAGATCTGACGGGGACAGAAAAAATTTCGGGAAAAGGTCAGTTGTTTTAAATTTTGGGGCCTAGGGGCCCCTTGGTGCCCAACTTTTTAAAAATTTCCCGGCCCTACCGGCCTGGTGGCAAGCACTGTAAAAGTTCCCCAACCCTTAGGGTTTTAAAAGTAAGGCCCGGGGGCCGCCAGGGGTTTGTAAAGTTGTGGCTGGGGGCCGGGGCCCCCGTTTTTAAAATGAAGTTAGGGGCCTTTGGAACCAGTGGTGTAAGTTAAGGGCCTGGGGGCCGGGCGGCCAAAGGGGGTTGTAATTAGGGGGCCGGGGGCGGCCAAGGGGTTTTAAATTTTGGGTTGGCAAGAGATACAATACAGGTCTTGAAGTTGTGGATACAACTCTCTTGCGAAGGATAAGCGGCATTTCTATTGTTGGGGGATTACCTTTTTTGCCTACGCAGCTTTCGCATGCGTGCGAAATTACTACATCTTGTCAATTTTTAAAGCAAAGGTACGGGAATTGCCGTTAGGCCATCGCCTATGAATGGTTTGATCTGAAAACGCGATACTCGAAAGTATGATGGATAAAAAAGTGAAAATCACGAAAACTACGATGGTGAAAACGCGACAGTCAACGATGGTTGAAAACACGACAGCACGATAACGAAAACGCGTTAATACGACAGTACGGTGATGCATAATACAACCAAACTATCGTGTTTTCATAAATCGTACTTCGCGTTTTTTACCATCGTATATCGTGATTTTTTTTTTTTTTTTTCGCGTTTTCATCATCGCGTATTATCTGCCCGTTTTCAAACCATATCCGTAGTTCGTGATTTTGCGTTTCACCCTCGTACTATCGACTATCGCGTTTCAGGTCAACACATTCATAGGCGATGCCCGAACGGCATTCCGGAATGCCGTTAGGGCCATTCGCCTATTAAATGGTTTTTGATGATTGAAAACGCCAAAATGACGAAACTACGATGGTTTGAAAACGCGACAGTACGATGGTGAAAACACGATAAGTTATCGCGTTTTCATTCATCGTAGTATTCGTACTGTCGCGTTTCATCATCGTTACTATCGCGTTTTCATCATTCGTTATTTTCGCGTTTTCACCATCGTAGTTCATGATTTCGCGTTTTTCACCATCGTACTATCGACTATCGCGTTTCAGTAAACATATTCATAGGGCGATGGCCCGAACGGGGCCCCCGTCTGTAAAAAAGAAGAATGGTTCTTCAACCGTTGAGTGGAGTCCCTTATAATTCAACCATGTATATAAAACCTGTAGTTAATTTTCCGCTATTGTATCCCCGAAATGTGTGTATAGTAACAAGCGTTAAAACAATAAAATGTATCATGTTGAATAACAAAGTAAATTAAATCTGTTCACATTACATAACAAAATAGCTATGTTTGGTTTACGACGCATTACTGCTGACTGAAAATGCAATTTTAAACCGAAATACGAAAAATAAACCATAACTTTACCGGATCATGAATCACTTCCGCATAGTCTTTTCGGACCTTTGATCACAGCATTTCATGCTGAAAGTAATACGGGGAAAGAAAAATACAAAACATATTTCAACAGAAATTAGTTAGATAATTTAGCCCGGGGATATAAATCAAGTTTGAGTCGAATTTTGTTAATTCTAAAAGATTGGCTTATTTAAAAAAGGTAGTTGGCCAATAACTGAAATAATGGACAAAGTGTTGTATTGATAAAATATAAAATCTACCTTAATTAATTATATAAATTGGAAACTGTCCCACCTCTTCTTATGAAATTGGCATTACCGATTTTAACAATTTCATAGAAAAATTTCCATTGCTCACAATGAATTATTGATTAATGGTCATAATAAAATACGAAAATTTGAAACGCTATTATAGCCAAAATGTCCCAAGTTGTTCTATTTTCCTGTTCCCACTGACCAATTTTATCCACTTGGAAATGGGCATGTCCATAAAAGCTTTAAAAAAACACCTTTAAAGTAAAACTGACGGTGCCTTCAGAAAGAGTAAAATGATTTTCAATATAAACATTAGCAATTCATGGTTTTTGAAAAGTTTTACAAATACCGCAATTGTATTGTCTATCGTTTGACCGAAATATTACTCTAACCACTAAAATCTTAACCCATGTATTAACGCATGGGGATTAATTCTGCAATTTTTGAAAATTTACTGTGGATAGTAAATGACCTTTGACCATAGTTAAATTCACTTAATTGAACAGGAGGTAATACTGTTACCATTAAAAACCACCTGTCATCTTTTATCATATTCATAAAAAAATCTACATAAAATCTTGGGCTTGCCCCTTTAAAGTTAAAAGTTTTAAAGGAAACCGCTCACGTGCGTTTCAAACGAGCAGTCATTAAATACAATACTAGTATTCATTAAAGATCCATGGATATCAGAATAAAATTTTTCTTAAGATTACCATTGGCGTTAGCCTCTTTGAGACAGACAGGACGGCACAGACAGACGACGAATCGACGCAGGGTCCCCGGAGCTTACCCATGTCTGAACGTTATCCCAATCATCAGCATTATCACTCCCTTCCCTTTATACGTGTCTTGATGGTTCTTTGTAAGTGAATTTGATAAAGGGAATCATCAATCTGAAAAGTGATTTAAATTGAAAAAATCTGTGATTAAGCTTTAAACGGAAGGATAAGTGAGATTTGAACGAAAAAAAAATTCTCACAAAAAAAGCTCCCACATTTAATTTGTAACGAGCAAATCGGTAAAATTTTTGACATTAACTGTGTAAGGCAAAAACACACGCACTAGTTTATATATTCAGAAGAAATAACCAATCATGCAAGACATTAATTTGAGCCGTGCCATGAACAAAACCAACATAGTTGGTTTTGCGAACCAGGCATGGATCCAGACCAGCCTGCGCAATCCGCGCAGTCTGATCAGTATCCCATGCTGTTCCGTTATCACTTTTCTTCGTGTAATAGGGTTGGAAAAGCCCCGGATGCGCAGCTGGTCTGGATCCCATGCTGGTCGCAAACGCAATATGTGGTTTTGTCATGACATGGCTCAATTCCGGTTGAACGTCTTAAAAATTGACGTTTATACTGTAGAACAAAACCAGTCTTAATTCTCGGCCCTTTTCTGTGAAACATCGGGGTAATCGGCGGGTTACACAACTAAACATGCTTACCTCCCGCGTTAAATTTCCCGTACACAAACGAGCTGCCAAGACAACAATCCAAATATAACCAGCAGACATAAACGTACTGTAAATAAATACAAAACAAATGATGACGTCATATTAATTACAGATATTAACCATTACAAAAGCGGCCCACTGAAGAGCAATGACCCTTTCCCAAATTAAGAATATCTGCGCCCCCCCCAACCCCCCCCCCAAAAAAAAACAGAACAAAAAAAAAAAAAACCGATAGACTAATTGCTCGAAGCAGCAAACCAAAATTCCCCTATGTTAAACTGTATTTTAA